TGCCTTCCTCCTCACTGGCCCTATTCTGATTTGTCCCTCTGAAATGCAGAATTTCCACAGAACAGATCCTGATTTATTCGTATATTTCAAATTCTTCATGTTTCTATATTAATCTCTGGCACATGAACTGAAAAGATTGCCTGATTCTTCGCTGAGTCTGAGCTGGCAGCTTTGCTGGAATGCTTTGCTCTGAGTCACCAAAACAATTCTAAAGCTCAGTGACGATTCTATTATGGGAATGACATCACTTCTTATCATTTTGGAAGAAACACCTTAGTATAGCAATGGCAGACAGTGGTATCATCATCACGTCATTCCTAAGAGATGTCAAATGAGAGAAGAAATGCAATTAAAGCAATGGGAAATGAAGACTGGCTCACCACCTGACAATGGTTCTATCTTTTCTAAATGTTATTTGACAAAAACATCACCACTCCCACCACAAAACAGTCTATCTTTCCCCATACAGACCACTTTGCCATGCTAGCCAGGACATCTTTCTGTCTCTGGCTCTGTTCCACAATGCAGATTTGTTACTGTGAGTCATTCTCGCTAACAGGTACTGCGCAGAGGCTCTGGGAAGCCTACCACTCATCTGAATGAGTGCTTCCCTTTCTTATTAGTTAAGGCTTCCTTCAAAATTAGGAAGGACAGTGGTCTCAGAGTGGGAATGAGAGCAATTTCTTGGACAGTAGACTCCATCTGACACAAGCATGAACGGACGAGCAGCACAATGGCAATCTGCACAAATGTTAAGAGGATTTGAGGGCAGAAAAGGGCTCCAAAACACAGAGAAATAGGAAGAACCTTATCACAATGCAAAGATGGTATGAGAAATCCAGGATGTCACCAGCTCAGTGACTTTGTGGATGAGAAAATTAGGGACTTCCACGTGTTTTATAGATGGATAAGAATGATGAGAAAAAAAGGCTATGAAAGACAGAATGGATTTGAAGAAAGGATATACTGAAAAAAATTAAAATGGAGAAGAGAATTTTAAAAAAATGGTGACCTTCTGCATAAATTTCATTTTAGTTCTTGAATATAACCACATAGCAAGACTGTATATTAATGATTGTTACTATGGAAGCAAGTTAAAAAATTATTGATGTCCCACAGGCAGACTACATGTATTCATCACTACATGAGGCCACAAAATGTGTATTTCTAAATTTTATTTTAAAATGTTTATTATGGCTACAACTTATAGCCTTTAATATATATAATTAATTAATATAAATTAATTAATCATATAATTAATATACTTTGGAAATCTATAATGCATACCTGGAATAAGTCCACGTACCCAGAGATCTGCATTTGCTGGGCAGAGCAAATGCCCAGAGCAATCCTTCCCTGCTTCCCTTTCTACCGTCATGACAGATGTCCTACTGGCACTGCACCTGCTGTCTGTGTCCCTCACACATTGAAGAAGTGACTGAGCAAGAGGAAACAGCCTGCAGAAAGTCCTACTTTCATGCTTATTTTGCACTGCTACAATATGTCTACCATCAGAGGGGTTTCACTTGATTTAGCTCAGGAGAAGAATCAACCTCACAACATATCTCAAGGTCACTGAATCCACCCACCAATGCATAAACCCCTAATGTTCCTGACTTGCATTTCAAATGTTTGTTCAAAGGCAAAATATTTGCTTCAGAGCCTTCAGAGCATGTGGTAAAATACTTCTACTGTATTCCTACAGTGATGGGTCAGCAAGTTTTCACCGCAGTTCATCACCTCATAGGCAAATGACATTGTTTGCAAACAAGTGGGGGAAAAAAAATTAACCAAACTCAGCAACATTCAGTGGGACAACTATCAGTAGATACTCTTTGACCAGAGGAAGGAAAAGGAAAGAAAGGGGGGAAATAGTGGTGGGGGTGAAAGGAAGGAAGGTTTTCTCCATCTTGGCAAGATTCTTGAGAAAATATGAGAAATTCCTTTAATGAGCCACACAATACCAGGTGTCTTATTTTACTGCGTGAATAAATCCGTAGAATATTCTTGTTTGAGGCTGTGTTGTTTGATTTTTGAGAATGAGTGTTTGACATTAAAGCCTGAATCAATTACCCTTAAAAACAATTAAATGCTGATACATAACATCATTTTAGAAGATCCACTAATTCTCAGCTCCACCCCCAGATTTGCTGCCATCAGACAGGGGTTAAGAACCAAACACAGCCTTCCTCTCAAGTGTAGCTTCCCTCAGAGAAGGGCAGGGAGAAGAAGCTGGCAGGTGCTGTGAAATGCACAAGGGTGGAGCATCTGCTCCTGTGTAGATTTTCCAGCCCTCCCACCCATTACAGGGAGAGATGCATATGAAGTGTGCACACTGCTTATTTTTAGCCAGCCGTGCAGAGGGCCATCACATGGCTCTGTCCCATCATTCTGCCTCTCAGAGATGGCTACAAACGCCTCCCGCTGAGACAGGATTTTTTCCATTCATGGTCAGTTTTTTTCCTCTTCCTTTGTGTTACCATATATATTAAAAACGTGCCTGGATGATACATCTTCTTGGTAGTCTCAGTGTAATTCTGCTAATCTGTTTAGACATAGCATCCCTCAATACAACCTAATACATTTCTTCAGGATTTAAATAAACCCCCAGCCTCCTTCCACTCTGAAGAATTGGAAATATAGTTCTGCTTACTGAAAATATTCTTTCTTTTTTTTGGGGGGGAGAGGGGTTTTGCTTTCAAGTGAAAACTATTACTGCTACTTCTCACACCATACTAAAAACTTTAAAAAAATCCTTAGAACTGTGAGGCAATTCTGAGACAAGTATTATTTTCTTCCCCATATGGAGTATTTTTATTTTCTATCTAAGCCCTATTTTTCTGTCGGTTATCAGATTACACTCCATGTGCTCATATTAACCAAAGTAATCCTTTTATGCATTTCAGAGGATGAGGACTTTCACAGGCAGTTCTATTGAAAGGGACACATCATCTTCACTGAAGATATTATTCACAATTCACAGAAAGAGAAGTACAGAAAACAGTATCTTCCTCCAACACAGAACACACTGCTCAGCTTTAATAGCAGCCCATCACCCAGGAACACAGGTGGATGGATATTTCTGAGCTCTGTAGACCTCCAGTGACTAGGCTTTTAAAGGGAAAAATGGAAGGAATTGCAGAAGTTTGCATAAATAAAAGAAATACATTCTAAATTTTTTGCTTTTGAAGGCATATCAAACTGAAAATAGAGCTGCCTTGGAGAAAGTAACAAAACAGAGCTTCCTGCAAAGAGGTAGGATATAATGGTAGTAGGTCTGAAGTCATTAAGCCAGTGAGATGATGAAAACATAAACGGAGTGTTTAATACAATGCTCACATAACTGGAATATTTCTTTCCAAGGTAAGTGGTGTGGAATGCTTGCTCTGATGGCAGCTAAAATGGAGCCCATTGTCTCCTAAGGAGGGCTAAGGATTTTCCAGCATGGAGCGGTTGTGGAAATCCCAGCTAAGGGCTGGAACCAGACAGAGGCTGAAGACTGTACAGGCACCGAGGCCTGACGGTGAAAGACTCTCAGAGCACTCAATGGAGCAGTGGGATGACAACTGGCAGCCTTTACTTAGAAAAGTATGTCTGAATTCATTATTGCAAGGTAGTCAGAGTACAGTTTACACTTTTAGCTATTGTGAGGTTATTGTCTCCATGAACATTCTTATTCCGCAGTAAATGGAACGTATCTTACCTTATTCTCACTCAAGATAGAGCAAATACAAATGTCTTCAGAGATACCTAAAGACAACATGCACAATCTACCTATGACATCACTCAGAAATATACTTCCTTGCTTTATGGTAACTCACCTGCAGCCATGCTGCCTGAGAATCAAACAGCCAGCATAAAGCAAACCACCTACTTGAGAAGCAGTCGCCCAGCTACTCTGGGTAAAGGGCCAGTTGAAGGTAGAGCAGAACTGAGTGATACAGAAGGAAGTGCTGCTGCTGACCATCTCTAAACTAGGCTGAGAAATTACATATATTTATGTGCAATAGTCTTTATCCAGAATAAAATATGACTGAGACATTTCTTTCCTTGAAGGAACAATTCTGCTCAAACCATACCACATGTCCCTCAGAGAGCTGAGCATGCCCTGAGGGCGACATACCTGCCATCCAGCTCCTTTCCTTTAGACCCTGCACACTAGCCTTCTGCACACACACAGTGGATATTAAGGTCTGGAGTACCTTTCCTATGAAGAAAGGTTGAGGGAGCTGGGCTTGTCCAGGCTGGAGAAGAGAAGGCCTTGGGGAGATAGCACTGTGTCCTTCTAGTACTTGAAGGGAGCTTATAAATATAAGGGGGACTGATTTTTCACATGTTCTGCTAGTGATAGAACAAGGGAGAATGGCTTTAAACTAAAAGAGGGAAGATTTAGATTAGATGTTTGGCAGAAATTCTTTATTCAGAGAGCAGTGAGGCACTGGCACAGCACTCCAGAGAAGCTGTGGTGCCCCATCCCTGGAGGTGCTCAAGGCCAGGTTGGATGGGGCCCTGGGCAGCCTGATCTGGTTGGGTGGCAGCCCTGCCCATGGCAGGGGGTTGGAGCTCAATGATCTTGAAAGGTGTCTTCCAGCCCAAGCCATCCTATGATTTGCCAATCAGACAAGTATACCACACCTTAAATTCTATTGGTTCAGAGTAAATTTAGGGGTGTACTTAAACATATATTGAAGATGCTCTGCTGTTATTAGCTGCAGGATGCTAACCACTTCAGATTAAAGAAATAAAACTGTCTCTGTGAAAGGAAACTCCTTTGTCTCCTTTGTAGGAGACCGTAATACTCTGCTTTGTAAAATTACATTTAGCCCTGCACATATTTAAAAACTTGCAATGAATATGTAGTAAATAAATGCAGAATTCAGTGCTCACATTGCTGCACATCTCTGCAGAAGCAGCTATCAACAACCAACAAAAAACATCAGAGAATGGATAATGCAACCTGCACTTGGTCTAAAGAAAAACAGGAATAGGTAAGACATTACCTGGTTATAGTGTAACAGTTCTTATGGATTCATCCCAGCAAGCCTCTGGAGACGTGCTTGTTCTTCACAACTATTATGCATACTTTAAGAAATGTCAGCATCCAGCCTGAATATTCAATCTGTGTTGATGTCGTCCCTTCACAATTCACACTACTGTCAGTTATTCAGCCCAGTCAAACAATATTTTTTGTTTCCTGAAAGAACAACAGAGCATTGTAAACAAGCAAATAATCAGCGATTCACTTTCAAGATTCACTTCAGATGACTGCAGCTAAAACTACTAAAAAAAATCATTTTCAAAAATCATTAATGTCTTCATGAGCACTCTCTGAATATTACCTGAGCACAAATTCACATCAACAAATAACGACAAATCGCACTTGTCTTTCTTTTCAAAGCATAGCTTTGTAGCTTTTAATAAACTGTAGCCAAAGGCAACAAAATACCTTGCAGAAATTCTACTTGCTCAGCTTTTCCACTGCTGCCTCTTCAGAGAGATGCTTTCTGCACAGTGAACCACAGCACGTATAGAGCACTGCGACCTTTTTGATTTTGGTTTCAGCAACAAGGTCAACAATACTGAGAAGAACAGCTTTGCCTTAAAGGTAAAATCTCTCCAACAATCTAAAATGGATCTTTTAAATGTAATTGAACTATAATAATTCATTTCCATAGGCCACAGGAACAAAATGCCTTCTAGATTTGCAACCAATTTTACAGTATTTGGCCACTGACAATACATGTAGGCAGAGAAGCTGGACTATTACTTCTTGAATTTCATGCAATGTTAATTCAGACAAAAATTTTTAGGTGAAGACTGACAACCAACAAGGAGCCCTGCAGATGAATACAGAATGATCCAGGCCTATCAGAGACAGGGGAAGGCTCAGAACACTGGGGAAGCCAACACTCCACTCCTGCAGTCAACAACCTCTGCACCCAGGAAGTGCCTTTGCCTGCTGCCAGCATGACTGGTTGTTCAGGGACTGGCTGCCTCAGGGTACCTCAGAGAGGTCCTTAAACCATGGACACCCCTTTTTCAAGTTAGAATTATTGCTAACAATCAACAGCACAGATGAAGTTATTTGTCATCATAACTGAGGGACCTAATTCTTCATTACTGTTGTACACCCCATACAACAGATCTACCCCTGCAAGCATAATGGTGCCTAGGTACCAGAACAGTACAGTAGTTTTGTAGTGGATATATTGACAGCACAATATTTTAAGAAAGCACATTTGAAATGTGTAAGTTTAATTTTACAGTTTCGCAGTGTGGAAAGCCCTTCTATTTAATGTGCTTGAATAAATCACTACAGGTTGGGTAAGGCAGCAGGAAAGGAGGCCTGCACATTTGCTGCGTGCCATTCCATTACCAGCAGCCCCTGTTTGCAGTGCTCGTCGGGTACAGGCTGCATGGAACAGCAGTTCCTATACATCCCCATGACTGTCTGCCAGACAGAAGATTACCTTACAGAGGGGGAAAGGAAATAACGTTTTATAGATTTTCATTCTTTTCTACGGTTGCTCCATCTTCACTACAGGGTTTTCTAAACTTCCTCCTCCATCACGAGCACAGCTAACTGAGTAATGCTCACCGTACAGCAGCCTCGCCTGTTAGCAACGTGCGTGCCAGCACACTGCATAGCTGGTGAAGGCTCAATTCTAACATACAGGCTTCAACCTCGCTGTTTTATCCCCCAGACTAAGCTAGGACAGCGCGATGACCAAGCACTTCCTTGTGATTCTGTGATTCTCCGCACTGCCCGAGAGAGGGACGAAGCGGAGAGGAGGGAGGGACGGCTTCTGGTGAAGGCATTGGATACGCAGCATCACCAGAGGCGTCAGGTGCCCACCTGTTGGTACGAGAGTCCTCCGGGAGTTCGGACTGCACGCCTCTCCCATCTCGTGCAAAGGCACGCGGCTGAACCCTCCACGACTGCAGAAGGAGACAGGGAAAGCCGCCTCGAAGTGGGAATGGCTGAGGGAAGGAGGGATCCCATCACGCTGAATAGGCTTTAGCACATTCGCAACCACCGTTGCGCGTTTACCAGCCGGCAACACCGATCCCCGTGAGAGCGGGCGGGCAGCGGAACGCGGCGCCCTCTCCCAGCCGCAGAGCTGCGCCCGCAGGACACGCTCCCCACGCCCCTCTCGGCCCTCGGGCCGCTCCCCGCCGGCGCCCGGCTCGGGGACGCCCGCTCGGCCTCAGCGGGGCGCGGCGCGCCTCCCTCCGCTCCGCCCCCGGCTCCCCACATCCGGGTTCCTGTCAACCGCCGCCGCGCCGCCGCCCGCTCCGCGTTTCGGGGAGGCGGCGGGGCGGGGAAGGGAGGAGGCGGCGAAGATGGCGGCGGTGGGGAGAGCCGGTTCCTTCGGTTCCTCCTCGGCATCCGGCGCCGCGAACAACGCCGGCGCGGAGCTGCGGGCGGGCGGCGAGGAGGACGACGGGCAGAACCTCTGGTAATCGCCCGCCCCGCCCCGCACGCCGGGCTGCGGGCCGACACTGCCGGCCGACCGGGCGGTGGCTGCCGGCCCCGAGGGTGGGGAGGCGGGGGCCGCGCTGCGGGCGGGAAGGAAGGGAAGCGAGAAGAGAAGGGGGGCGCTGGGCGGCGGCCCCGCAGCCTCGGCTCAGCCGCGCCTCTCTCCGCCGCAGGTCCTGCATCCTCAGCGAGGTGTCCACGCGCTCCCGCTCCAAGCTGCCCTCGGGGAAGAGCGTCCTGCTGCTGGGTGAGCACCGCGGCCCTCCCGGGCGCACCGCCGCGAGGAACTGCACGCCTGCGGGCGGGTGGATCTGCGGGCTCGCTGCTGCTTCCCGCTCGGCCAGCCCTCCTCTCTGCGAGAGCTGCGTGTCGGCGTGTGGGAGCGTGGCCGAAGCCCGGGGGAGTCGCGTGGTCTCTGGAGCGCTGTGGCTCTTTGTAGACACGTGGTCATCCCTTTCTTGAGGGCTTTTCTCCGGTGTGTTTTCTCTCATCCTAGAGCTGTCTGTGGCTGCGACCCTTCCTGCTCCGAGTGGTGCCTTAGAACTTCCCAGCGAGGAGAATGCTGTATGGGGATTATGGGGCTGCCTGCTGAACCTGTTACAGAACTTCTTGCCCTCTGATTTGTTGCTTGTTACGTGATGTAACTGAGTAGGCTTTTGAGATTGGAGGTTCTGCTGATGTTAAAGAAAGATTGCGTAGTAATTGAGAGCATTTTATGTGATCCTTTGAAATTAGATTGGATAGCTGTTCTTGGTGGAGTTGGAAGGTTTCTTCCTTCCAGTAGTGATCCTTGCCAAGAAGATTACGCTGTCTTTCTCTCTTTGTAGCGTGGTGTATGGGATACTGCTAATCTTCAGTGATCAGCAGTGTGAGTCTGTGTTTCCTTCAGAGTTTGAGGGCATCGTAGAATGGTTTCAAACACTCATTCTGTTTGTTCTGTTTGTTTAGTCTCTTGTATAGAGAGATGCTGTTTATTTCTTTATGTAGAGCTCGTAGGATGACTTAATCATAGAACCATTAAGGATGGAAAAGACCACTAAGACCATCTAGTCCAACCACCAACCCACTCCCACCATCACCATGCCCAATGACCACGTCCCTCAGTGCCACATCCACGTGGTTCTTCAACACCTCCTAAATGCAGCTCTACTTTTTAGTTGATGCCTTTTTTTTTTTTTTTTTTTTTTTTTTTTGGTTGTTTGTTTGGTGATTGTTGTTGGGTTTTTTGTTTGTTTGGTTTTGGTAAGAATTCTGTGTAATCTGGGTTCAGTTGACTGTTCCTTTGCAAGCCAGGGTGCTGTCCCTGAAGCATGCTGCCAATGGGAAAGGAGAGCTCATGAGTGCTGTACTGGACAGATTGAGGTTAGAGTAGGTGAAGCCATATCTTTTCAGGCAGTTTCTCATTTGTCCCAGGTTTCCTCTGTTTTTAAGCTTTCTTCCTTTAAGTAGTTTTTATACTGGCTTTTTGTTGTTCATAAGGATCACTTCTTGCCATGACTATTTCCGATTTCTTTGCTCTTAGAACGCTTTTAAGCAGGAGTTGTAAAGTACATTTTCACGTACTTTGTGCTTGAGCAGTTATAATATTGGCATGTTAATTCTGCTATTTCAGCATTTATTTCTAAGTGTGTTAACATCTCATTTTTAAGAACCTAGAACACATTTCAAAACACCATAGAAATAACTCAAGAAAAGTGGGATACCGGATGCCAGTTTCTGAATATGATGCACTGTTTTGTGAAATGAAGATTAGCATATAATGCTGGTAATTCTTTACTCAAAATTGGCAAAATCCAGACTAATTTATAGTTTCATTTCTCTAGAATTGTTTCAGTCTTAATGTGAAGAGTTCAAACTTTGATTGGTACTGCATGCAGTACAAAAGCATTCTTCTGTGATTGTATGAACTAATGATAGAAATATAAGCTTTCCTAAACAATTCTGTACAGCAAATATGCTCTGATCCCTAAGCAGTTCTGTCAGAGCAGCCTTAGCCACCTCATTTAGCACATCATAGCAATAGAAAACATGCCATTCCTGTTTTCTTAAGGTATTGGGCTTGTCTTGCTGCCAATTCTAGGTACTATTTTGAAGACAGCTGGAAGCATGTAGCTCTTGTCGTTGGCATTTTTCATTCTTTTTTTCCCCCCAAACTTCTGCTCTCTTGTACTGTAAAGGTGCTGAGCAGAAGAGACTCGTGCTTTTTGTTGAGTGCGATGATAAAGCTGATGCTTACTGAGAGCCCTCTTGTTCTTTCCTTCCTGCAATAATTAAACCTGAACCAGCAAGTGGGATAGATGGAGCAATGAAATGTCACCACTGTGGGTTATGGATGGAATCCATAGCAGCACAGGATGTGTGAAGGCCTGAATTCAGAGGCCTGAACTAATCATTTATTCAATAAATTGCAGCATGTATTCAAGCAGTAATGTGCAAAGTCATTCCACGATGCATGAGAAAACAGGCTCCCTAGCTTGCAAACCAACTGAATAGCTGCTTTCTAGCAGGCTTTGTATTTCGTGCATTCCGATCTCTGAAGCATAGCACAGTTCTTTGCCTGCAGTTCTCAGGATGTCAAACCATCCAGTGACACGTGAACCCGACTGTAAATATCTTGTGTTGCACACTTTCACTGCTGTTGAATCGTTAGTATTTTGGCTTTCTCTGTGCTTTACTCCGCTCTGTAATAAAGGCTCTGAGCAGAGTGGGCAGTCAGCGCTCAGCTGCCTCGTGTGCACATTTTCTCGCTTTGCAGGGCCAGACCTGTCTGTTTGAATCTTTGAGCTCTGCTCCTGCCTATTGGCTGTCAGGGTGCTGAGAAGAAGTTCCCACAGCCTGTACAGCTAATTTGCAGGTGCGCTTTTCTGCGTGTGCATGTTTTGGGTTGACTTACTGCAGGGAACGGGTATATCCCAAGGAGTTGTTCCAGCTTGTTGCTTTCCTTCAGTGGATCCTTGCACTATAGCGAGCTTCAGCATTACTTTTTGAGACAGCAGATTTGTACAGAGACTACAAAAAATAATATGAGATCTTTTTATTTATTTTTTAGCATTGAACACAACTTTAATTGTCCATTTGCTTTTTTTTTTTTTTTTTTTTTTTTTTTCCTATTCAATATCTGGCAGCTTTTCCATGATCATTTCATCATTTCAGCTGATGAAATGTTGCATGTTGATTGTATCCTTTGTTCATCTTAAATGATTTGTAATTCTCTAGTCTTGCAAGAGTTGCCAGATAACTTCCTTTCTTCCTCTTCAAATCCAAATCTGAACTTTTTCATATTCTGTGCAGTAAGAGCCTTCCAAATGCAAGCCATGTTCTCTTTCAGTCAACAGAGTTACAGTGCTAAGATTATCAGTTGTTTTGATGGGATGTTTACCTAGATAATGTAGCAGCAAAACAATTAGGTTACTGTTTCAGAAGGAAGGTGTGCTTTTGGGAATGTTCTTCTTGTTCTAACTCGTTTTCCAAGAGGCCAGAATTAAATGAAAGTTGTGCAGTAAGCCGTATTTAATTGTAACAGCATGGCAAAGTGTGGAATTCTTGAACTGTGTTTATTTAATTTGTCTCTGCTTTGCCAGTGGTGTTGCTGATGTGTAGATCTATCTCAGAAATAGTTTTGAAGGTGATAATGTGGAAGGAATTGTGTTTCTGTACTCTCCAGGTAGGCTAGTGACAGGAATGCTAATAAAGGCATCCCTTTGATAGTAGCGCAGGATTATTCTCTTTTGGTAGTGAACCTGGGTTAAAATGTACTGCTGTGGTACAGGGACTTAGTGCTTGCCTTAGAGATGTGTTGCTTATATTCACTGCAGAAATAAGTAATACTGCTACTGCTCTACCTGTTTCCATGGTCAGCCCATCTATTCTTGTGTTGCAGGACTTCACAAAGGGATGCTGGAACAGTTGTTTATGCTCTGTTTTATATTCTGCTGTTATGCAGAAGTACAGTTTCTGTGCCCCTCAGAAAAGCTGTTTGATTTTTTTTTAGTGCCACTGTAAAACCAAGCAAATGATGTGTGAGAAGAAAAATGTTTTCAGTGGGGTAAAACAAAGCTTTTTGTCTAACAAGTGAAGTCTAATTTGATGGTGAGTTATTCCAAGACTTGATACGACCTACTGACTGCAAACTTGCACATTGTTTTGAGGAATTGTGGAGAAGAATCTCGTCAGCATAATTAATTTTGTTCCTCCATTCTCTGAAAGCAAACTAAACTTGGCTTACCCTGATTATTTTGGTCTTGCTCCACAGAAGGCATTCTTCAATTAGTATGGTATGTGTAAGCAAATCTCTGTCACTGATTGATATGAGGATGAGGAAAAGGCAGCTACTAGCCTGTGCTTGAGAGAAGTGTTTTATCTGGAAAATAGCTATAGCCCACATGTCCTTATCTGTAGTGTGAAGGCTGTTGTGTCTCCATTCTGCTGGATTAGGGCTGGGAGGTTCCACACTGCATAGAATAGAGATCACTGAGATTCTGGGAAAGCTGCTTTGCCCTTGATAACTCAGTTTCAAGTTTCATCAAGGAACCTTTGGCATTATGGTTACATGCACAGCTTTTCAGCAAGTCCAGAGCTTTTCAAACTATTGCTGGGGAAAAGAATCAGAGCCCCTCATAGAAGAGGTACCAATAAAAGAAACATTTTGCATTCTGCTTTATTGATTTCACATATTGTGAACACATTTGGTATTTTACAGTGGAGAAGATTTACATAAGTAGAAACTAATGTCTGTCGTGGTGACAATGAATGATACTCAGGATGGTTCTATGTGCAGTAAGAAATTAATAGATGTTTGCCTTGTTTTAAGACAAGTGATAATCTGCTTCTGCTTTCGTTTCCTAAACTGGAAGAGAAGTGGAAGTGTGAGTAGTAAATATTGATAATTATCAATGCTTAATGGAACAGAAGTTCTGCAACCTAAATTTCCTCCGGCTTTGGGGCTGGCCAGCATCCACCAGCAGGGAGCAGGGCCGGGTTTTGTCGCATGCTGCCTTGGTGCTCCTGGCCAGGAGTGCTTGAGTGGCTTGTCAGGGAGTGAAGGAGCAGCATGGGTATGGAAGTGAGATGGCTTTTGTTCAGCTGAATGCAAGGCTCTCCTTTTGCTTAACAAGATGGTGAAATACTGTGTAAGCAGATTGCTGCGACTGCTTCCTAGCTCAGCTTCCGGAAAAATTAAATCTATTGTCTCTCCTGTTTGTATTCAGCTTTAGTGTGCAGCACTGCTTGCTGGGAAGCATTGCTTCTGTTTCCTCACTGTATGATTAATGTACAAGTGCAGCTTGATGTAGTGGGGAGTTCTAGTTCTTTAAGATTTATCTTAGAAAAGGAGGGGTTTGGGTTACTTATGAAAGCAGGATGCAAAATCTTACATGTGCATCTTCAGTTTTATTCTGCCTTGCAGCTCTAGAGCAAGAATTGCATGTCAGGAATGTTTTGCTCTGTGAGCTTACATATAGAAATTTGATTATTATATCTTTTGAAATAAAGAAGCCGCCAAAGGATTTTCTGTCTCAAAATTTTGGAAGGAAGAGGGGTATGATGATTACTCCTCCTGGAGGTGCATGATAGCACTCTGTCTTGCATGGTGTTTCGGTAGACCTTCAGATAAAATGAAGCACCTTGTTTCGTAACTTGAACAGGCAGTAAAGTTTAAGACCTGGGGATAGGACCTGTCCCTTTTGTTTGAAACTAAGTACCACTGCTGTTTTCTGTACTTCAGGGTTACCCAGAGACAGTGACAAAAAATATTCTGAAGTATGCTAGGGTTCAGAATGTCAAATGCTACAGATGTGTGTGTATCCACGTGTTCTTATTTAGAAATAAGAGTATATGCACATTTCGATGTATGTGCCTGGCAGTACCTGCACTAATTGTGTTATGGTGCTGTCTGTTACCCCTCAAACTTAAAATAACCAACAGGCTTCCTTCCATTTCCTTGTCATCTGGTGGAGGAAAGCTTCAGTATATACTAAAAGCATTACAATAGAAGATTTGGGTTTTGGGATGCCTTAGACATTAGCATTGCATGCAGGTAGAATTTGCTAAAAAGTAATTAGAAAGCAGAACTATACTGCTGCTATTTCCCAGCATAACTTGGGTATGTTCAAAATTGGTTGACTTCTTGGAGTTTTGAAGGCTTTAGGATGAGAAAAAAATAGGTGAATAGCAGGGATCAAATGTATTTGCAGCTATCACAGTTGTAAAAGGTATGTCCAACATACTTAAGAATACTTATTATTAAGAAATAGAGGCAGAACGGAGCATCAAGACTTTGCTCTCTTGTTAAAGGTAATCTTTTCTTACTTCCAATGAATGGTGTGGGCAAGGAGGAAGAAGTGCTGATGTCATACACCATGTCCCAGTTTTTACTTTCTGACAGCTTTTTCCAGACGTTGACTCTAATTTGGCTTACGAATCTTTTGGGAGCTCAGGATCACCTGTGGGTTGGGGCACATCTGGCTATGCGGCCATCTTGCACTCTTGTGAGCAGTTGTGTTTGTATGCTGCTTAGTTCATGAGTTGCTTGTTTTGGGCCACTTGCCAGTGTTCTTTCTAGTACTTTTCTTCATGTATCCTTTGGCTTCCTTTGTGTCAGCTGCACATCTCACTATTCTCTTCATTTACCTGACTAATTAATGAAATCAAGGGTTTCTTTTGCGATGTTGGAACTTCTCGTGACCACAGGTGTTTCTTAGTCAGGTTGCAGGCAGTTTTATTGCAAACTGGCAGATGAACTTTGCTGAAGGTGCTAAGCTTTCCCAATGCAAACAAATTGTAAGCTTTGTTACCACCTATGCGAAACAAGGTAGAATGTAAGAGAACTTAGCTGGAGGTAGCTAGTGTGAGCAACCTGGGAAATGGCAAACTGCAATCCTCTTTGAAAGGAATAAGGATTGTTTTATCTTTTGAGCGTTTGGAACCAAAGCTACCTTGTTTTGTGGGATTTTTTCTTTTTTCTTTTTAATTTAAGTCTGGTAAAACCTATAGAAAACTTCAGCAATAGTAACAGCACCTTCTTGCAGCGTACCTTGCCAGTGCAGCAGCTCAATAGAATCTCCACTGTAACTTGTAGATGACAAGTTCAAGAAGTTGGAGTACTCTGGTGAAGGCAAGGGAAGAACTGTCATTCATCTGGGGTGAAGAGGCTTCAATTGTTCACCTTTCAGGCAGAATTTCTTATTTAAGAGAATATTCATACAAGAAGAGGAAAAGCTTGTGTGAATAGAAACTTGCTGTGCTTTCCAGCATTTAGTTAAAATTACCTGTAATTGTGTTTTCTTAGGTGTGCCCAGACTTAATAAAGTTAAGGACCTCGCAGACTAATTTTCCAAACAAATTTAAAGTTTAGCTGACATAATTTCATTTTTTTCAGTTTTTGCTTTTCAGTTTTTACTCTAAGTAACCCAGCTTTCTGGTAGCTTCCAGACTATTGGTCAAATCTGAAGCTGAACTCCACACTGAGTATTTCCTTACAGCAACCTTGGGCATTCTGTGTTGGGAAAATTCAACATCAGTCTATCAGTATGATTTTTCTGCTGTCTTCTGTGGCTGTTTCTGTGGTCTTATTATATCTAGGTGTAATATTCATCTAGAGGATGATGACCAAGTTTCTCTACAGGGAAAATTCATCCTTATATGTAACAATGAAAATTATTGCCCTTGCACTTTTTTTCTTTTTTATGTAGTGCTTACACTTTCACTGTATTGTTGAGACTTGAAAAAATGTTCTTTTTGGCATGGAGTGGATAAGGTACCTAGGAACCTGTTATTAATTTTGATTTTGTAACCTGTGAGTGAGCTCTGGGAAGTTACTAATCTCCGTCCTCACTAACCCTTGTCATGACATCAGAATCCTTAGAGTCGGAAGGGATCTTTAAAGGCCATCTATCCCAACTCCCCTGCAATGAACAGGGACACCACAGCTGGATCAGGTTGCCCAGGGTTGATCCAGCCTCACCTTGAAAGTCAACAGGGACAGGGCATCCTCCACATCACTGGGCAGCCTGTTCCTGTGCCTCACCGCCCGCATGGTAAAAGACTTTTTCCTTATATCTAACCTTAATCTCCCCTCTTTAAGCTTGAAACCATTTCCTCTTGCCCTATCATTACAGAGCCATCTAAAGAGTCTGTCCCCTTCTTTCCTGTAGCTCCTCTTTAGGTACTGAAAGGTTGCTCTCAGGTCACTTTAAAATCTCCTCTTCTCCAGGCTGAACAGCCCCAGCTCTCAGCCTGTCAAATGTGCTCATCACTGTATCAAATTAGAGAAGCAAAACCCCTGATCTACATCCAGGTGTACTTAGGTTACTCTTTTGGACTTGAAAAATGGTGCATGAAGTTTTCCAGCTCTAGGACGTGTACTAAGAAGATCTTTAGGATGAGTCTTTGGCAGCAGTTGAGCAGTTGTGTACTTACGGTGTAAGGTTCACTGGCAATCTGAGGTCCCTTTGGAGGGGAGGCAATAAGTGGGCATTAAGAGTGGGATCAATGGATCTGTAGGCTGTGTCAGAATGTACGACAAAAGTTTTCTGTTTTCCACCTCCTTTAAAGCTTCTTCAGAACTGTAGAAAAGATTCAGAGAAATCAACTCATAAAATTATAAGAAAACAGTTTTGCCCTATTCAGCCTGCTGTTCTGCCCTGTTTGACTGGGGAGAATTGTCAGTGGCATTCTTCTGATTGTGTGATGAACTTACTCTCACTTGCACCTCTACTTCAGAAAGACTTTGGTTACAAGTGAAAGACTGCAGTTGTTTAAAGTGTTAAGTTAGCTTGCAAAAATACATATGAAAACTTTATTCAAAAAGGATAGGTACTGTCATAACTGCCTTTGTAACTGATTAGAGATGAGACTTGAAGATGAAGCACGCACTTTAAACAAATGGATGAGTTGGGCAAAGCCCTCTATATTTTGAAAATTTAATGAGCTCAGTTGTCTTGTTAAAGAACATTTCCTTCTTGTCACAAATGATTTTTAAATGTAGCTGAGTTTTAAGATTGAGTGTTATCTAATTTCTGTCTCTCCAGGTGAAGATGGAGCAGGTAAAACTAGCTTAATAGGAAAAATTCAAGGAATCGAGGAATACAAAAAAGGAAGAGGCATGGAGTATTTGTATTTAAACGTGCATGATGAAGATCGAGATGGTAAGTTTCTTATAAGATCTTAAACCAAAGTAGTGGTTCAGTATTGTGATGTTTAGAATGAGAATGGGATGGTTTTCTTTCTCAGTAGAAGGTCAGTTCAGTCCACAGGCAATTTGTTATGATGAGGTTTCTCATTCTAATCTCCTTTACATATATCATGAATGACCAGGCATGAGGAGGAGAAGAGCCAGTTAAAAGGCTGAAAAGGCCAGGAGAAAAGCAGTCTTTTGTGACATTCTGAATGGGTGGTAGGCAAAAGCGCGCTCGTCAAACTAGAGGAAAAGGTGTATAAGACTCACATTGCAGATATCTGTACCTGTGGAATGCTTAATTCCACCCTGATGCTTAAATTGAGGGGGAGAGGGTGAGGGAAGGAGGCTGTAGCCTGTTTATGCACTGCATTATAGAATAGTTTGGGTTGGAAGGGACCTTTAAATACCAGTGAGTTCCAACCCCCCTGCTATGATCAGGGACGCCTCCCACTAGACCAGTCTGCACAAAGCCCCATCCAGCCTGGCCTTGAACACCTCCAGGGATGGGGCATCCCCAGCTTCTCTGGGCAACCTCTTCCATTGCCTCATCACACTCTGAGTGAGGAATTTCTTTCTAACATGTAACCTAAATCTCTCCTTTTTCAGTTTAAAGTCATTCCTCCTTGTCCTGTCACTGCATGCCTATATAAAAAGTCCCTCCCTGCCTTTCCTGTAGGGACCCTTTAGATACTGGAATGTCACTGTAAGGTTTCCCTACAGCCTTCTCTTCTTCAGCTGAACAACCCCAGCTCTCTCCGTAGGAGAGATGCTCCAGCCTTGTGGCCTCCTCTGCATGTGCTCTATCTGATCCAGATGCTTCCTATTTTGAGGTCCAGGGTTGAACACAGTACTGCAGGTGGGGTCTCACCACTAGCTGATGAAGTGTAATGAATTATCTACAGGCAATGCTTAGAAGCAGCTGAGTGTGAATAAGAATACAGAAGTACTTGTGGGTAAAAATGACTTCTCCGTGCTATGAAAACAAATGCAGGTTGAAGGAGAAACAGAAGTTAGTTCCTTCTACCTTCTGAAATCACCTCCTTGCTTGACTTCCACCTCTGGCTATTGGTCTCAAAGATGACTTGACATCACAAAGTTAAGAACTGGTTCTGAATGTTTTCCTCAGAGCTTCTGTATCAAGCTGTGAAAATTTACCTGAAGGCAAAATGTAATTATATCATGCTATCTGATTTTGAACTACTAGCTCTTCATTCACTTCAGAAGTGTTTCTGAGGGTAGAAGTACACTGTTTTGGTGGAAGAAGCAGTAAGATGGCCTGTCTGCACTGTGATTGTCCTTCTGCAGATCTGAAGAATAACTTTCTTGCCTGTTCACTCTCCATCTAAATCATTAAAGCTTATGACAGAAACTTGCAGTTCTGCTTCAGTTTTCTGATGGCCAAGATACAGTTATACATGCACATCACATTGAATGAATTCAGCCATCCCTTTTCATCCCATCTGCTCAGCTGACTGCCATCTCCCCTTCAAAGCTCCCCCTTTAAGTTGCTTTTCCAAGAGAACCATTTTCCTTCTCAAATGGTGAAGATTAACATTGGAAATATTCAATTTTTTCTCTGAGTTTTCATCTTCAGGTACTCTGTTCAAGATCTTCAGTTATGGCCATTAAGCTGAATTCTTCAAGCTTCAGTGTCTCTGAGGGGCAAGGGCTCTCCACAAGCTGCAGTTGCTGGGGTGTGTGTGTGTTAAGCTGACTGTTTTAAACATGTATTTTAATTTTCTTGACTTGTATTTTACATACCTAATGAAAATGTAATGGTTATTATGGAGTGGACTGTTGCAAGTGAATCTCAATCTTGTTTTTTCTTTTGTTATAGACCAAACAAGATGCAATGTACGGATTTTGGATGGTGACCTGTATCACAAGGGTCTCCTTAAATTTGCAATGGAGTCAAACTCACTAAAGGACACTCTAGTTATGTTGGTAGTAGACATGTCCAGGCCTTGGACTGCAATGGATTCTTTACAAAAATGGGCAAGTGTTGTAAGAGAACACATTGACAAGTTGAAAATTCCTCCTGAAGAAATGAAAGAAATGGAACAAAAATGTGAGTATTCTGTAGATATTTAGGATTCCACTTAAGTATGCTTAATGCTTTCTGTACAACTTAATCTCTCCATTGCAGTCTTTTTCTCTATTGTAAAAGTGGCTTAAGATCAGGAGTTCCAGGTTGAATTGTCTTATTTCCTGGAGAAACAAGATAAGATTTATCAAATGAAAAAAATGTAATGGCTTTCTGTTTTATATTTAATTATTTTAAAGGTGGATTTTCATCTTTTATACTGCATTAGTCTTTTACTTGTTCCTGTAATCAGTCAGGCTAGATAATTTTGTGTCTTTTCTCTGTTTAACAAAAATGTAAATGTTGAAAGCATTCAGGATTATTTCATGCCCAGTAATGTTTGGGCCCTTTATGCTTGAGGAGTTACTCTTGACACAAATGCAGCTATGTATGCTTTGGTTTGGGTTTTTTTGTGTGGGTTTTTTTGTTTTGTTTTGGTTTGTTTTTTTTTCATGAATATGCTCTATCACTTTCATGTCTTTTTAACTTAAATATGCAGAACACAAGGTTATTGCAGAATTCCTTGATCTGACTGAGCTTGCTAGTGTCATAGCACCTACTAGTTTTGGGCAGCCACCGTATTTCACTTGTGGTACTAAATCATGAACCTTGCCCCTTCACCTCCCTGAATTACTACAGGAAGCAAGCATTTGGGAAGGCTGTGTATGATCAAATACTGTGATTAAAATTGTATATATTGAAGTCTGAAATTTGTCTCTAGAATGATTATGTTCTTAAGCACCTGTTGGATAGCTTTTTTTTTTGCTTTTTTTTTTGGACATCCAAGTTGTAGCTGTGCTGTGATTAAATGGGCAGTAAGGCAACAGCTTACGTTTCTTTTAAAAGATTATGCTAAGGGAGTGTCATTCCTGGGAGCCATCTTAAATTCTTATTGTGAAAAATTAAGAGAGGGAGAAGAGTGCTTTTGAGCGTTGGTCATTTTGTTTTGTTGGTGGGGGAGGCTGTGTATTAAAATTACCAGCTGTTTCAGGATATGGTTTTACTGGATGAAAGTAGGGATGCAATATCTTTGCTATCAAAACTGTGCAGATGGTAGCTTTGCTTCTTTACCGACTGACTGAACAGAATAGAAAATTTTACAAAATCCAGAAAAAAATATTCCAAGGTCTCTGAGTTGATACGGTGCATTAATCTTTTTTCTTCCCTTGAGTTGCTGGCATATCCTGGTGAGAGCTCTGGATTAAAACATAATCAGTCTGGGAGGCTCTCAGACCAGACTGAAGGGGCAGCGGTGCTTTAATGAGAGCCTCAATCAACTGCTGAAGTAGAGATGATGATCTGTACATATGCTTCTTTTTGTTCTGAATTTCGAGTAGAAGAGCTGAATAACTTCAGCCCAATGCACTTTTATTCTGGATGCTGGATAACTCCGTGTTCTGTTAATTCACCCGATGCTTTTCTAGGTAGGAACTCAGGCCTTCAGTCAGTTTAGAAAAGGTAGGGATGGATGAAGGCAAATCAGGACAAAGCAGTGAGAAAGTACTAGAGTGCTGGTGTGTGTGATTCATCTGTGATTCAGCTAAATCATCTTGCTGCCTGGATTTTTGGCTGATTCAGGCAGTGCTACCCGTGGAAAAGTAATGGAAGTGGTTTGGGATAGAATCCTTTTTCTGCTGGGTGAAATCAGACACTTGATGTGAAAGGTACAAACGTCTGATGCCTGATGCTGCATCCCTCGTGGGATGCACGTTAAGTGACCTTGTAATTAGAGCTTGGGCATTTGCATCAGAACTGACAAGAGTTACACTTATAACCTTGCCTTTTTTTTTTTCCTTCTAATTCTTGTTGGATTCTGACTTGCCTTCCTTGCTAAACTTTAAAGTAGTATCTGATCTGTTGTAAAATCATGCCAAATGTTTAAAATGCTGCTACTTAATAATCTAGTTATTGACTAATTTTTTTGTTTGTTTATTACTGGTATAGATTCATGGTACAGAAAACTGTGGATGAGGGACTTTTAGGTCAAACCAACTAAATGATCTGTACAAGGCTTGCTGCTGTTTATGCTAACAGATTTTTGCTAATTTCACCAAGAACAATGCAGGGGACCTTGGTTCTGTAGTAGATTTGTCAAGCAATGATAGCTAATAGCAACTGCCCAGTGGTTCTTCCACAGTGCTAAAAGTCAAAATGGGTTAATGCTGTCCTCATGGACACTTGAAACCGGCCATGTTCTTCTGCCTAGCCAAATAAATGAGTGGTGGCATTTGCTGCATGTTCAGTTCTTTCAACCTACAGAAGCACTGTACTGTCAGCAGTACTAGAGATCAATGGCAGTGGGAATCAATGTTGAAATACTAAAGTAGGTGATCTTTTCATTTAACTTATTTTTTTTTATTTTCAGTGGTAAGAGACTTCCAGGAATATGTAGAACCAGGCGAGGATTTTCCAGCTTCTCCACAGAGAAGAAACACTTCATTACAGGAAGACAAAGATGACAGTGTGATTTTACCCCTGGGTGCAGATACACTAACATGTAACTTAGGCATTCCAGTAGTAGTAGTTTGTACAAAGGTTTGTTTCACATTTTAGGTTTTTTGTATGTTTTATTAAGGGGGTGCTTTAAATTGTGGATTTGGGGTGGGAAACTCTTGGTTCTAAATTCATTCTGAATACGTTGGATAAGAATTCTTATAAATAGGTTTATGTTGAAGGTTGGGAATCTTCTGGAAGCCCTATTTGCATGTTAATTTGGATGTAGTATTTCCTGTGGTATTACCAGTTTTCAGGGAATTGAGAAATACCTCAGACCTGGTTTTGCTCTCAGAAGTGAGCTAGTCAGTAAGCAACTAAAACTCCCTTTAATTTACACAGCCATTCTTTATTCTGTAAAGGGTGGTTTGGATTTTTAAATACTTCTGCTTTTTTTTATGTGAAGGAAAAAGTTTCAGGGTGCTAGCTAGTAGAGTGCTGCTCTGCTAACATTGCTCAGTTCTTAGGGTGTTTCTGTGACCTGATTTGATTTCTATTAAATACCTCACACTTTAGTCTTTAGTTTAGAGAGAAAGTAGTGTAGTTCTCATGTTTTGTTTTATTCCCCCATGGCTTTTCAGTTCTCATTGGCATTAAACATACTGCATCTGCAGCCTCTGGTGGCCCAAAGAGAAAGAATAAACCTTTTGATGCATATGCTGTTACTTCTAGAGAAGGCTGACTCTCTCATTTGAAAAGCACCTGTATTTTGTTGTTTGTTTGTTTGTTTTCACCTCCTGGGTCTCCATTATTCTTCCCTCACCACAACCACTATTTTTGTTCTTCTCATCTCCACGCTTCTTGCTTTGGCTTACCTTTGCAAAGGGTGAGCAAGTAGCCAGCCGAAAAGACTATGCCTTGTGATAGCACAGCATTGTAAAAGCACTGTGCAGAAAATGCTTGTATTCAATGGATTGGTGTTCAATAGAGATGTTGATTTATTGCATAACGTGGTTGCAGTTGGGAAGAGAATGGAAAATGGCAAACACTTTAACTCCCAATTTAAGGCAGCCCATGCTACCACATGCATGCTAAGATGCAGATTTAAAAAAATATATGAAAGAAAAATTGTGTTTCAAAACAATCTCAGGAGGTTTTTGGTTTTTTTTTGCTTTGCCCCCCATGGCTCAGAGTTGTGAAGGAGGTGCAGCAGCACTGCTATTTCAGCAGCTGGCTGGAAGTGGCATATTAATTCTGTGCTTATTTTAACAGTGCGATGCCATCGGTGTTCTGGAAAAAGAGCATGACTACAGAGATGAACACTTCGACTTCATTCAGTCACATATCAGACGGTTTTGCTTACAGTGTATCCTTGAACGCATCATAAAGACGACAAGGACTCAAAGCTTTGCATTAATTGTGACCAGCTTAAAAGAATATTTGCACCTCTACCAAAACTGTGCACAACTCCTTCTTTGTTGCTGGACATCTGCTTTGGTTATTCCCTATATACAATGCTGGGTTAAATATTTCCTCATTCTGTTGAATAATTTTTTAATTGAATTGATTGAAATGAATTGAATTAATTCATTACAGATATGCAAGAGTCTGGCACGTTCCCTTACTTTGAATTTCTTTCCTTGCCATTTCCATACTGAAGAATCAGTTCCTAAATCAGCAAATCTTAACCAACAAGCTCCCTAAAATAAAAAGAAGATAATTCATTTTAGCATGAAATCATTTCAGATGCCCATATCTTTTTGACTGAACATGTGTTATGTTCAGAGTTCAGTAATCCCACAGGTAAGGTGATGAGGGAAGAAAGGAGATAAAAATTGATATGGGAAAGATCCCCTGGCTTTCCTATTAGTAGGCACAACATATGTAAATTGTCACTATGCCATGTATAAAATGCTATTTAGGTAGCTAGGTGTGCTCAGATCTAGATTTTAGATGCCAATAATGTGCCTTCATTGTGTCATCATAATGTGTGCTGTAGGAAGTGGGGTCTAAATACTACTGGAGAGACAAAAATTAACAGATGGAAAGGTAGTTCAAAACCCTGAGATCCTACTGAAGTACTGTGATGGCACCTCCTTTGGATCTAGTTTTTCAAAATGGAGTTACAGATAATTGCAGTAAGTTCTGTAGATGAAGAAAAGGAATATGAAACATTAGTAGGAATTAGTCCATGCAATTGCCATATGCAGCTCAGTACTGTATTCTGAACGTCACTGAATGGGAATCAGATCTTGTTAGATTACTTATTCTTTCAGAATTTGAATTTCATCTATGTAGAAACTGGTTAGGGTTTGGGGCATTTTTATAATATCAAAGTGACAACTACTTGAAACTTCCCTTGTTGCTTTTATTAATCCTGTGTGTAAATAATCTTCCTTTGATACTGAACCGTATGAGAATAATAACCACTCATTTTAGTACTAACGTAGAGCACAACTCATTTACCTTCCTTTCAAAGGAGATCGCTCTGTAATATAAGAGCTTGGTCCCAAATTTAAAAACTCAGCTGGGAAAGTGAAAGACCTTTTGTATTCTTGGAGCTATTGATGTTAATGCTGTAGTATCTGTGTCACATCTCTGTGTAGTCCTGCAGGACGGGAGAATGATGAGATAAGGATATGGCATGAAAGTTTTCACTTGCTGAAAGCAAAAAAAATATAATAATAAAAGACAACATAGTGAAGCTATTGGTACTGTGGGCTTTGAAAGTGAGAAGAGCCTTTACTCAAAAACCAACGGATGAGTTGCCCTAAAATATATGCAGGAAGAGAGACATAAATTCTTAAATAGCTTATTTCAAAAAATAGCATTGGAAGTTGCTTGACCTATTTGATTTTTGTATTCCTCTTAAATGTTTCAGAGGAGATAGCCTTTAGAATAACAAAAATGGGCCATTTTCCTATTTCTTACTAACCTCTAAAATGGAGTTTTCTTTAACAAGTGTACTCAGATGGGGCCGCGCTTATTTACACCTCGGTAAAGGAGAACAAAAACATTGATTTAGTCTATAAATATATAGTCCAGAAGTTGTACGGGTTTCCTTTCAACGTTCCAGCTGTTGTTGTGGAAAAAGATGCAGTATTTATGTAAGTTACCTGCACTGTTGTGTGAATATGACTACAACATACATTTGTACAGGACTGCAGAGCCTTTTTTGTCCTGTGTTTTTGAAAGATGAGTGTAACAGTCTGCTGAGCTGGGGGATTTGGAGAGGGAAGTTGGCTGAGACAACAAATACTCACTTCCTCAAAGAGAAACGATAAACCAAGAGGCATTTCCTTTCTGTTATGGTGAACCAGTCCCTGTCTGTAGTTACCTGTACTGGTCAATAACCCCCTTGCACAGAAGAAAGGAAATGACAACTTTCTGGGCTTTCAGTTCCATGTAGATGAGAACTGCGTTCAAGAATAACCTGAAGTAATGATGGAATTTGAAGCCAAATGATCCTTCCTTCTAGTCCTGCAGGTTGGGATAATGACAAGAAGATTGGCATCTTGCATGAGAACTTTCAAACACTAAAAGCAGAAGACAGTTTTGAAGACACCATAAGAAAACCGCCGGTCAGAAAGGTAAAATGAGAGGTTTTAAAAATGGAATATATTTTGCTAGTGCTTTTGGCAGCCTATCTCCCTGTTAGCTTTCAGAGCTTTGCTTCCAAGAATACGATAAACATATTTTTGCTTATTCTGTCTTTTCATTTTGTTCTCAGTGTTTTCTTGGTGTTTTGTATAGCTCTTCTCCAGCTTACACAGTACGTTCAGAACTTTTTGGTGTATTTCCTCTCTCATACCATTTAAGAATAAAGGCTGAACTATATGGAAAACATGGAGGGATTGAACAAAATGCCAGCAAAGAGGACCCCATGTATACGTGGAAGTTATTGAGTCACAGAAATATTTGCTTTCTTTCTAGTAAAGTTAAGAGTTTGGGAGTGATCATTTTCCAAATGTCGATTATTTCAGCTGAGAAAACTTAATGCTGTGTCCTTCTATAAGCTTTGGGGGAGAAACCAAGACATACAGCAATGTGTTGAGTACCAAGAATCCAAGGGAAATGTAACTGGCAAACTTTTTGCATGATTATATGCTGTAGATTGTAAATTTTGGTATTTGCCTTGCTTGCTTTGGCAAAGCCTGTCTTTGGTGACTTGCTGTGTAGACCTGGATCTAAGATGTTTCTATTTCTTATGGCACTTCATGCTAGTGCAAAAGTCACTGAAAGTAATGCCAAGCTCAGGCCAGGATAAGGTAACAACATGCCTCAGTGCGTGCATCTGTGAACAGATACTGTGTATCCTATGCTTTATGTTGTATTCTTGCAGATCCTGGTATTAGTGTTTTGGTTTTTTTTCTTTTGTGTTGCAGTTTGTTCATGAGAAAGAAATTGTTGCAGAAGATGACCAAGTGTTTCTCATGAAGCAGCAGGTAATGTTCTGTTTGTAAAACAAACAGCTGATGTTTCATCTAACAAGATTCTCCAGGAAAAGAAAAAAAGTTTTGTAATATCTAATAATACATGGGTTTATTGGTTGTTTGTTTTTCTTTCTTGCAGTCTCAATTGGCGAAACAGCCTCCTACTGCTGCAGGAAGGCCAGTGGTTAGTAGTAACAAAGTACTTCCAATACCATCACCTGTATTTGAGGGCTGTTTGTCTCTTAACTGCGCGTTCAAATAGCTTTGATCAATTTATTTGTGTAAACTATGTAGTGTTTAAAGCCTATTTCTTACACTGCTCTAAAATGATGACACTTCTTCTCAGCTAGGCATGACAACTTGTATTGGCAGCAAGGGCTAAGTGCTGTGGCTTTACTTTTCAAATGTTAGAGTGCATCTAAGCAGTTACTTGCCCACCCTTTCCATCCCAAGAGTGTGCCAGGGAGCAAACTGTATGTCAGCTGAATTGCTTTGGTGAGTTTTATATCCAAAATTTGGCACTGTCATTCTAGGAATATTGAAACTCTGGGGGAAAAATTATATATGGTTAAGTGAGGATTATGATGTCTAAATTCAAAATAACTGGAAAGTAAGAAGTTTAATAGAGAGCATGTAAATTTTTAGAGATTACTTCAACTTTTTTTAGATGAACTGCAATTTTACAAAAACATCTGTTATCGTTGAAGAACTGAGTAATGTTTTGGGGGGGTTATTTTGTTTGGAGCTTTCTTGTTCACTTTTTTCCTTGGACTGCCTTCAGTCCTTTCCGCGTAATTGGTGGCACGTGGTGTTATCTTCCCAAGAAGCTGATCTTAGGTCCTCTGCAATCTCATCGGTGGAGTTTTCACTGTGATCAGAGGAACTATAAAATAACAGCTTCATTTTTCTCATTGAAGTGCCTGGAGGGAAGCTTCAGCAGTGCTTCAGTTGCACTGAAGTTAATATTTGTAACAATGTCATAAGTGTGGAGAAAAAAAAAAAAACAAACACGTAAAATTTAATCTTGCCTCATTTCAGTTGTGAGGGAAATGACATTATTAAAAAAGAAGTAGAACTGAGAAGCAGGTGCTTAGTTTCACATGCAATTACAGTGCATGATTTGATTCTATGGAAGACTTTTTAATTTTCTCCTCTTTCTTTGCACAGGATGCCTCACCGAGAGTTCCTGGAGGATCTCCTAGGACACCAAATAGATCTGTAACATCCAATGTTGCCAGTGTTACACCTATCCCTGCTGGATCCAAAAAAATTGATCCCAACATGAAAGGTACGTTTTTCTTTCCGGGGACAAGAATTAATTTGGGGAATTACCTTTAATATGCTTATTTAGCATAACCAAAATGTTGAATTGCTATTTATCTGGACAATGTTTGGATGTTTTTTGTCTTTCCTACCACTCACTCCTGTCTCCTTGCAGCAGGAGCTACCAGTGAGGGAGTCCTGGCAAACTTCTTCAATAGTCTGTTGAGTAAGAAAACTGGTTCCCCTGGTGGCCCTGGTGGTGTTGGTGGCAGTCCTGGAGGTGGCAGCACAGGAGGTACTGGCAGCAATCTACCACCATCAGCAAAAAAGTCAGGTATGCTAAAAAGATCAGCTTACAATTCAGACTGAGCTGTGCATCATTCAATGTAGTCTGTCAGAAGTATGAACACTACTACTTGTAACTGCATGTTTTGTTGGATATGGCTTCTTATTGTCATAGTGATTCAGTATTGCCTGCCCTTCTTAAGGCTCAGAGGATCAAAGAAAACCTCTTGTAGGTGTGTGAGCAGCTTATGCCATAAATAATCTTAATATTATTCAGATACATTGGGACTTCATATCAAAGTGATGTGTATTTTTATCATTGATGTTAAAATGACTTCATTACTTTTTAACTTCTTAATACTTTTTAAACTTCCTTTTGCCAGTGCTATAGCTCTGATTTGATGAAGGTTTTGACTGACTTCAGCAGTCAATCAATTTAGTATTTTCTTCCAACAGCATGTTTAGTATTCATCTGAAATGTCTGACAGTGATTCCTTTAAAGCTAGATGCATGGAAGGCTGGGGAATAAGAGTTATGAGTGACTTGGGGGAGGAGGAAAAAAGGTGTATTGCAAGCTAGGGTCGAGTTTAATTGTGAGTGTATAAATGTTTGTGCTATCCCAAGTTATGGGGGAGGTAAGCAGGTGAGGAGAGTGAGGGATTTGCCACCTGCAGGTGTGCACGCACCTCGAGCAGCAGTGTCAACTTCAGCTGACCAAGTTTGTGGAACACACACTGGCCTGTGGTAAAACTCCTGATTTCTATTCAGAATTACTTCAAAATACAGCTGATACAGCAAATCATTCAGAAGTATTCATAATTTACAGAATACAGAGCAGTGTATTTTCTAGACTTTACATTAACTCTTCATATGCCCACAGCTTTATACACAGTTATGGAAGTTACTTTGAAAAATCTGAAATAGATGATGTGACTATATTTCTTCTGTTCCTTTGCTGCTGACTTTTGGCCTTAGGCATTTACTGCATGCTTTAGGTCACAGAGTAACATTTCTAGGATTTGCCTGAAGCAATAACAGATTGTTTTTTCCTTTTCCTTTTTTTTTGTTTGGCAGATTTGCAGATGCTTCTTGAGAATTGAAAATACAAAGTCTTTCCCAAAATGGTTTCATTAACATCACTGAGTGATGTGCATTTCTTTTGTAGGTCAGAAGCCAGTTTTAACAGATGTTCAGGCAGAACTGGACAGAATTTCACGAAAACCTGAAATGGTTTCTCCTACATCACCTACGTCTCCCACAGAAGGTGAAGCATCTTGAAGACACCAAATAAAACCAATTATTCAGTTTTCTGGGGTAATTCAAACTTGCCTCTGCCTCTTCCTTCAGTGACTGGAACAAAAGAACTGAAACGTCGTTTCAGACACAAACAGTTTGTCTTTCTTTCATGTGTTGCCCAACTTTACAAAAGGGAGCTGTACAGGTGAAAAATGGTATCACATCATGTAGGACTACTGTTCACAGTGCAAGAATAGTAGATAAATTTCTGGGTTTTGTTGATAAGTCAGTGTAATTCTGTGAAACTGACAATTATGTCCACTTGCAGATAAAGGTTGCTTAGAGCAGGAAGCTGATGCACACCACAGGCACTTAATTTATATTGATTTCCCAACTTATTAGTTGATTTTAATACCCTCCTAAGTAGAGCGTAAACTTCTAAAGGAGAGAACTACTACTAGTTGTTGGAAAATAAAATCACTTGCACAAAACTGTAATGACAAACTCCAAGTATACTTGAATGCTTGATTTGGAGCATGTTTGCAAATCTGTTTGTTTGAAATCCCCCGAGATCTATATTGCATTCAAAAACCCATGCAAAAATTTCATTCCAGACTAAGATCTTAAATTAGTGGCCAGTTTTTTCGTTGTTTTCTTTGATTAATTTCAGACACTGAATAAAAGATGTATAAAGAAAAAGCAGAGGTTAAATGTACAGATTATCAGTATCCAGATTTGTCTATATATATATGGCTCAGCCTTAATGTCCCCCACTATGTTTCCCATATTAATTATAGTTTAAGATTGGTCATCAAAACTGTAATCAGTTAATAAAGTGTTCTCTGCATTCAAATTTAAGTAACTTTCATTGAAGCCATGGCGTTCTTTGTTTACAGCTAAATTTGAGGATGTGATGTAAAACATCTTAAATTACACTTTATCTTGTATCTCTCTTTGAATAGTATCACTGGTAGAGATTTAAACTTCCTTACAGCACTGTTTCTGGGAGGAATTGGATAAAAGTCTGCTGTGTTTGTTGCTAGCAGTAAAACTTGCTTCTCAGACTTGTGTGGGTTCTGCTGCAAGCACACCAACAATCCTGCTGACAACTCCAGCATGTTAGAGTGGCCTGGGTTGAAAAGGACCATAAAGATTATCAAGTGTTGTATTAGATAGCTGACCAAGGTCAGGGCTTCAGCTTTCAGTACACAAACACTGAGCATCCCTTCACTGTTCTGTTTCAAGCTTGTGGGCTTTTCCTACTGATAGCCACAGAATACTAAGTGTAAAAAGTATATCCCAATCTAATAATTACCAAGTAACTTCAATGAGTTTAAGGTTTTGTGGTTGTTTTTTTTCATTTGTTTGTTTTGTAATTTGTTTTGGATTTTTTAAATAAAGCCTTACTTTCTCCAGCTTATTTAGGAAACTTCTAAAGGCTCCTGATGAAGGAGTACATCTTCTGTACTTTGAATGTGATGCTAGTTGTATTAAATTCCAATTTAGGTTCACTTCCAGTGAAAAAGGCTGCAACCCAACAGACTGGTAACTACATTTCAGGTGTGTAAGTAGAAATTTAAAGTTAGTACAGTAGCTAGTCTGTCTATATAACTGAGAAGTCATAGACACATTTCAGAGACTGCCATGTTTTCAGCTGAAATGTGAGAACTGCCTGGAAATAGTGATCTTTTACCCCAAATCTTCAGCTTAAAATTTGCAGAGCAGGTTTATTACAACCACTCTAATCAAAGAAATTATATAAGGATGTAGAGGAAAGGAAATCCCCTAAAAGAGTTTATTTTATTGGTAGCTGGTTCCTTAACTACACAGGCTTAGCTCTGAAAGTGCAAAGTAACTTCTTTATTGTGTAGTGGTTTTGCAGTATTCATACTGCAAAACACTTTGAAATGCTACTTTATGAAAAATCATCATCTGCTCTTCTTGTGTGCTAGGCCAGAGCCTTGTACTTAGTAACACCAAAGGTATTAAAGGCATGCAGGAATGATTAGAAATGCACTTGATGTTACTGGTGCTGTTATTCCTTGTAGAACTGAGATCATTGCAAATCTCACAGGCCTACAGTTTAGGGCACCAAAGAACAATAATGAATAAGGAAGAGGTGTCCTTTCCAAGTATCCTTTCATTGTTTTCACCAATGGGTGGCTTTGGTGCCTGAAAGAGTGGAAATAGCCCTTTCACAAAGCCTTGCTTTGCACGCTGCTTCTGGTAAATTCCACTTTCTCCATCTGCTGTTGTCAAAGCTGTCCAGCCAGCATAAACAGGCTGTAGATAGTGATGGCAGCCTAAAGAGAACTTAAACTTGAAGTAGGAAAGCTAAGGACTTTGATGCTGTTGAACAGAAAGGCCAGGTAGAGAAAGTTCTTTCTTAGCCTTTTACCCTAGTGAAAAATAATAGTAATAAAAACCTTTAAGAACCAAACAGCTAGCAGGGGTTAGGGAAGGAACATATTTACAAGTCAGGGGTTAGGGAAGGAACATATTTACAAGTTTTAAATACACAGAAGTGACTTTTTGTTTCTAGAACTTCTTTTTATGAAGTGAAATTCCAATGAGTCATTAGTAAGGTTTTCCCCAGTCCCTGCCTCCACGGAAAAAGAATAAAAGGCCATCTAAAATCAATAAAAACCATCTAGTTTGATGGCTTCTAATATATTGTCGAGCTTTCCCAGTGTTCTGATGGTGATGCATGCCCTGCATCCCTGATGGGAAGCTTCTCCCGCCCCACCTTCCAGGTCAGTTCACTCCATGCAGTTATTCATCAGCAGGTCATGCGTTTCTCCATGCGTCACCTTTGCTGAATCACAGCAGAATTGTAAGTTCTGCAGTTGGAACAATCGATTAATGGTAAGCGGTCCCTACGTGCCAGCCCACTATTCAGTATTCTGAATGAATTGTATTAAGTATGGTTAACCCTATAATGAGAAAGTATGCTGTCCCTTAATCAAACTAAAATATAACAAACAAGATTCTTGTATTTTGAAATAATACTACTTAATTTGCAGTTGTAGAACCATTGGCTGTCAAATACCTCATGGCTTTAGAATTCTTTTTATGCAGATGCATTGCAGAAAACCAGTAACAAGAATTATCCTAGCCCAGCATTTGGGAAACATGGAGAGAGTTGAGCATTTTATTTGTTTTGGTGCCATGAAGGCTATTCAGAAATAGCTGTTAGAAATACTGATTCCTGATCTTCAGCTGTTTAAAAATCCCACCTTGGGGCTAGTTAGCACAGTGCTCAGGCTTTGTGAAGTTCAGCTGCAACACTGAGCCCAGACATAGAGCCTTTGGAGCTGAGCAAGAGTCAGGAGATGCAATGTGTGCAAGTCTTGTGTGAGTTTGTCTGCTTGTTACAGACCTTGCTCTATGATTCCCATGGCTAGCTGGTCATCTCATGCAGAGAACTTGTGTGAAAGGATGCTGTTAGATGCCTGCATGGGAACCAAAGCCAGGAGGGAGCCATGCCTATGACTGTGGAGTTTCCCAACTTGTTCTGTGGTGATCTGCCTCACCACTCTTCAAATGAAATGGAGCCTGCGTCCTTTGGTGGTTTGGGCTTTTAAATTGCTTTCCTATTCTTATACTTCTTTCTCTTTTGAAAAGAAAGTCTCCTCGCCTCAAAGGAAAATAAAAGGACAGAATTGTATTTCAGAATGTGGGAAAATGAGAATTCATTTGTGAGAAGTCAGGTCAAGGGAGTGAAGGATTTGTTTCAGCTTAATCGGTAATTCTGTAATACAGAACGAAGCTAGTTCCAAAGGTTTACTGGGGCTTCACTTCGTAAAATCTGGGATGATACCTGGCCTGTACTCACCATATCCCAGGGGCTGAAATTTATTCAACTGTTTTGTCACTCCAGTCACAATTCTTTTGTAAATTTTTTCAATGCAGTGAGGACTGATGTCCGTGTTATAAAGCTATGCTGTAATCTCCTCTAATGACGTAGGTTTCTCCATTTAATAGGTACTGATTTATGGACACTGTGGTGGTTATCTTTGGAGAAGATGTAATGCGGGAGAAAAGTAGGTCACTCATCACTAATCTGCTCCCACCAACCTCCTACTCCTTGGCTGAGTGGAGACGTTGTGGCAGTTTACAACCTAATTCCAGGACTGCTTTCTGCTGCAGTGTCCTGCTTTAAGCTCAGGCTTTGCCATTCTGGTAGAGGTTGCATGAGTGAGACAGACTTTCATTTTTGAAAACTCTGTCAATGCATAAATAGAAGAAATTGAGTAAGATTTCTTGATGGTGCCTATCTGCAATGGGATTTCTATTACATCACAGCTGGCTAATTGCAGTCGTTTACATTAAACAGACATTATGTATCACAACTACTGTTTTGATCTGCATTCCCTCTTTAAAGGGGAGTGAACTTTAAAGCTGTACTTGAAAGACAGTTCTAGTGAAAAGGTAAGGAACAGCTCCAGATTGTGTGCCCAGCAGCATTTGCATGTTTTAACAAAACGCTGCAATTGTTTTTAAGGTATTTTGTCCTACGCTGTCTGGTTTTCATTCCCTCTCTGCTACGGATCTTTGTGGTTGTTTTGCTTTCCATGTGTTGCCTTACAAATAAAGAAAGCAGCCTAAATAATCTAGGATTTAAATGGCAAGCCAGCTTTTACACTTCCTGCTGAAGGCCTGAGCAGGAAAAACAAATCTGAGGAAACAGCAGTAAGTAGAAAAAGGTTACAATATATTTTATCTTCAGTCAACTTTGTGTAGTTTCTCTATTGGTCCTTGAGAAGCAGCTCCTTTCAAGAGTTGTCCTCAGCAGTAACATCTGCATTCATCCTTTTGTAAGGCTGCCTTAGGGCATGGGTAACAAGACTGGGAACAGCTGCAGGTATCCTTAGATGGTACTGAATACTTACTAAGGAGAACTCACAACTGCTTCTATCTGCTTAAGCCTCGTCTCCCTCAGACAAGAGTAGTCTCACTACATAGGACATGTGGTCATTCAGCCAATTTTGAAACATAAACACAAAACAAAATAGGAAATTCCTTTAGAAAAAGCCTCTGTAACACAGCCTTCCTTACACCGTACTAATGTAAAAAACCAGCAATGAAGGCACAGTAGTACTCTGGATCCATAACAGTAAATATCATTCACTACACCTACCTGCTCAGCCCTGCACTCCTGGGATGCTGCATGCAAAACTGCATTAGACACGTCCCAACCCCCAGCAGAAGCTGTGGTGCACTCACAGCAATACCTTCCTCATTTCACTGGGCACTCCTGTGCCTGAGGAATCACAAGGTTTGCCGACTCACTTGCCTCTAAAGCCAGCTCCTGCAACAGGCACTGTTACTGGCACAAACACACCCGCACCACCCAGCCCAGGGCTCCCACACTGTTCCTCTGGGTTGTGTTTTCCTACAGGGAGTGGTGCCATTTACAGCCTGCTGGCAAACAGTAGCCCAGAGCACGCCCCAAGTGCCTTTACCTGCTCTGCCTTAGCTGTCCAGGCACGGCGGCTCCCAGCAGGCACAGATGGTGCCTGATCTCTCGGTGCTGCACACACGTCCTGCACTGCTGGGCTGAGATGGGCAGTGTGACCGTTCACTTGGCTCCTTCAGCACAGACTGTGCTTAAACAAAGCACGAGTAGAACTAAGGCCGAGAAAGCAAACTGCTGCTTTTCTATCAGTAGATCATACTTAGCAAAGTATATCTGAATTTGACTGTGAAGGACCATAATAGTTCTGTGGATAATACGCTAATTAAAGTCAATGTGGTACACTTTTGCTTATACACAAAAGTCTTCATCTATTTCCTCACGGCAGAACGAGCTGCCTATGAAATTAGGTGCGGGCAGAGGTAGGGCAGCACGTCGGAATCACAGAACAGAGTTGGAAGGGACCCACGAAGACCATCGAGTCCGACCCCGGCTCCACACAGCGCTATCCAGAATCCAAACCCAACGTTTAGGAGCGCCGTCCAAACACTCCTTGAGTTACTGTGGTCGCGCCCACCACCGTCTGGTGAAAGTTCACAGGGATGCGTCCCAGCTCCCGTGCAAAGGACGGCACACGCCGGCACCAGAGCGGCTCGCCGCTGCCCGCCCCTGCTCTCGTGCACGGGGCTCGCAGGAAGCGCTTTTGTTTCAGCGTCGGCGGGCGGGGCGCTGCCTCCGCCTTCCCGTTCCAGTTCCCTGCCGCGCCGCTCCAGCCGCCGCCCTTTTGCTTTCGCTTCTCGCTGGCTCGGCAGCGCGGCCATGGAGAACGGCGGCGTCTACAACGAGACCACCGAGCCGCGGGCCAAGCCGCCCCTTCGCCGCCGCTGCGGCTGCACCCTGCGGCACCTGCGGGGCTGGCGGCTGGTGCACAAAGCCCTCCAGCCGGTGAGTGCCTCCGGGCGCGGCGGGGCGGAACGGGGCGCGCTCCTTTGTCGTGTCACGGCTGAGGCGAAAGGCCGCCGCCAGCACGGCTGTGCTGCTCGGTGCCGAGGCTTAGAATCTGAGGGGCAGCGCTTTCTGCAGAGAGCTACGGGGGTGAAAGAGGAGGTGGAAACCCTGCTCTGAGGCTCGGGGTACGGCTGTGGACTTGGCCGCTCCTCGCACGCCCCGGCAGCGCCTTTCCTGCCTCCTGTAGAGCACCACGCACAGTGATGGTAACCCGTCCGGACGGCTGAGACGCTGCTTCTCATCGGGCGGTCCTGCGCGCACCAGAAAATGCAGGCTTCCCCTTTTGCCGGCTTGTTGTGTTCTGAGTGCCTTCAGCACGTGGGCGCCCGATTCGTGCTGCTGTCTGTCCGGCGGTGCTGGTAACGGTGCAAGGAATAGAGAGGGGAAGTACTCACAGGGGGGCAGTGGGACTGGCTGCTGACTCTAAGTGTGTCGGAGCCTGTTTTCCGGCGAAGTGGCTGTTCAGTCAGATGTCTCATGCTCAGAGGAATCATAGGTGATTTCCAACACTCTCGTGTGCTCACTGCGCAGAAAAAGAGGACATTCTGTTTTTAAACTTTAGCTCACACAGAGTCAAAAGGAAAAGAAAGGTAAAGGTAAGACTAAGTGCTGCCAAAAGCAATGTTTTCTTAATAGCGTTTTGAAAACATCATGTCCAAGAATACTTTAAATAAATGTAACAGGATGTAAGCTTTTACTTTGTCACCTAGAGATTGATTGATCAAGTAAGATCTGCTGGCTGTGGCTGCCAAACAAGCAGATCATTTGTATCAGTAGTCTGATGGAATAGAATGAAATATTACATGTGCAACTTCACCAGTGTAGCAAAGTCTTCAATTTGTTACCTGAGCAGAAGCATTGCTTAAAAAGCTTTCCAGGTAGGAGAAAGAGAAGTTATGAGGGGCCTGTCCTAACCATCATGGGTAGCTGCTCGATAGGTTTCAAAAACAGTTGGTGATCTATACTTGTCCTGCAACAAGAGGAAAAAGAAAACTGAATTATAATCATTCACTGTCCTGATTTCTGACAAATTTTCTCCTTCCTTTTGTTTCCATTTACCAAAATGCACTGTTCTGGAGTTCTTGGTCAAAGTATTTAAAAGAAACACCAGGAATTACTGAGAATGGAATCCTCAGTATCTCCAGTAAGAGAAATGTTTTAGGAAGGATTTTTGGAAATCACTGTGCTTTAGCTAATATTAGCATCTATTAGCTGTCTGTTAAAATTGGGATTCTTTGTTATTTTGGGGATTACACACTGATTGTCACTGGGGTGGACTGCTAAATAGGGTGTTGGTTTCAAAAATCACCCGTCTTTGTTACAGAATAGAATAATAGAACCCTCAGACTTTTAAGGGACTTTCGAAGATCACCTAGTTCAACTCCGCTGCCATGAACAGGGATGCCACAGCTAGGTCAGGGTGCTCAGGGCCTGACCCAGCCCAGCCTTGAAAGTTTCCATCACATCACTGGGCAACCTGTTCCTGTGCCTCACCACCCTCACTGTAGAAGACCTTTTCCTTATATCTAACCTAGATCTTCTCTCTTTGAGCATGAAACCATTTCCCTTCATTCTATTACCACAGACCCATCTAAAGAGTCTGTCCCCTTTCCTGTAGCTTCTCTTTAGGTACTGAAAGGCTGCTCTCAGGTCACTTTAAAATCTCCTCTTCTCCAGGCTGAACAGCCCCAGCTCTCAGCCTATCCTTACAGGGCAGGTGTTCCATTACTTGGAGCTGTTGGAGTGCATCCAGAGGAGGGCAACAAAAATGATCCATGTCTCTCCTGTAGTGAGCACTCCACATTTGGGTGCAGTATTCCAGGTGAGGCCTCACCAGCACAGAGCAGAGGGGCAGGATCACCTCCCTCACCCTGCTGCCCACACTTCTTTTGATGCAGCCCAGGATATGACTGGCTTTCTGGACTGCAGGGGCACATTGCTGGTTCATGTCCAGCTTCCCATCCATCAGTACCCCCAGGTCCTTTTCAGCTGAGTTGCACTCAATCCTTTCGTCTCCCATCTTGTATCGGTAATAGGGGTTGCCTTGACCCAGGTGCAAGACCTTGCACTTGGATTTGTTGAACCTCGTGAGGTTCACCTGGGCCCAATGCTCAATGCCATTCTAGATCCCACTGAATGGCATCCTGTCCTCCTGTCCCTCTGATTTGTCGACTGCACCCCACAGCTTGGTGTCATCCACAAACTCGCTGAGGGTGCACTCAACCACGCTATCAATGTCATTGATGAAGTATTAAAGAGCATCAGTCCCTGCAGTGACCCCTAGGGGATACCACTTGTCACAGATCTCCGTTCAGACATTGTGTCATTGACTACCATTCTCTGGGCTTGATTCTGCAGCAGTTCTTTGTCCACTGAACAAGAAGAGCAAGTATTTTATAAAATACTGTGAAATCGCCTGCAGAAAACTTCTTTCTAGGCATCTTAATTCCATGGGTTTCTAGATTACTGTTTTGTTTTACTTTTACTACAGCTGGATTGTTTTGTTGTTGTTTTTTACTCCACGACTGGTTCAAATTCAGCACTAAGCTAAATGTCTAATAGGCACAATGGTGCCTATTGTGCCATGCTTGAGGTAGAAATGAGTTCTCATCTAAAGCAGTAGTATTTCTCATTAGCAGTTATTTTACTTCAAAAAAAATACCTTAACCAGAAAGGAAAACTGTAATTCAGCCTCAATCTGCTATTTGTCCTGAATTGTTTGCTTCCTGTAGTAGCCCTCACTTTGGAGCAGTACAGAACTAACGTATGTGCTCATCCAAACTGGAAGGTTTGTGCTGGGAATACCACTGCTGCTTGCCTGCTGGCAAGTTCATTTTTTTACTTCATATTTGCAGCATTTCTTTGTAGCCTTTTCTTTCTTAAACCCACCTGTAGAAACTTGCAGTAGCAGTAATGTCAGTGTTGATGAAAAACTTCCTTGCTGGCAAAGGGCAGAGAAAGATATTTATTTTCTGTAGGAGAGGGAGGGAAGGTGGAAGCTGACTGCATGTATCTTCAGGTGTGACCTTGGTCTTCAGTATGAAGGAAGCTCTGTCCCACAGGTTTAGCTGAGCTGCCCTCTCCACTCATTGCTGACAGCTCAGAGGAAAACAGTTGTTGATATTCTGTCCATTTACTGCTTGGAAGTCTCCATAGGCGCAGTGTGGAGAAGACAAACGTGAAACTAAAGCAAAGGACAAGTCCCATAAAAGACTCCAGTTGATCAATCCTTTAATTTTAATTTTTATTTTGACATGGAACTCCTTTAAGTACTCTTTGAATGTGATTTTCTCTCACTTGCTTGTACACTCAGCCAAGAGGTTGTTGGGTTTTTTTTTCTCAGTTACAGTTATCTGGGCTACTGAAGTCTTCTGAGGGCAGGTTAACAGAAAGGCTTTTGCTTTCCTTCTGGTCTGTTTTGTTTCTGGTGAAAGCGATGGCTGATATAAAGAGTGGTGATATATAAAGGGGTGGAAATCTAAATCACAGAAGAGAGGGGAAGAAAAATAAAAACATACCTCCTATTTTAGCTCACTTTGCAAAACATGTGAATTAGTCATTGGACACAATTGTAAGCTGTGTAAGTAATCTTTTGATTATTTTTTAAAAAACCTCTCTAGAAATTGGAAATTCAGAGCTTAATACATTCCTTGGGTATCCGTTGCAACCACTGATTTAGATGTGTGTTCCTGAGCAATGTGCCTTTGCCAGCAGCTGCATGAGGGAAAGGAAGTATGCTGAGCCCTGATTGTAATATGCAGTTTCTCACCTCCAGTTCTTTCCCTTTCTGAGATCCTGTTTACTTCATACATGATTGTGTATTCAAAATACAATGTTTTGAAGTGCCCTTCTGAGGTCTGGCTTAGTTGGTGGAAGGAGTGGTTCTCATGTGCTAAGTTGCTGTTCTTATTTTTACTGTCAGAAAGCCAAAACCGAGGACAGATAATTATTTTCCAAAATAAGATGCAGATAAAGCACCTGCAGCTGCTTTTACATGCCATATCTGGACAATTCTAAATTCTAGAATTCGGTGTTTTTCATAGAACTGTCACCCTCCCACATGCTGTTATTAATAATATGATCATCCTCACATCAGTCTTGATTTTATGACCACCTCTGGTTCCTAAGCACTGCTTTGCTCTAATCTGCTGAACTCCTTACTGCACAGATCTATATCCTGTGTCATCTTTACAGGATGAAGAAAGCCAGCGAGAAGTGGCCACAAGGAGGGATTATTTAAATACAGCAATATTCCTTCCTGCACAAAAAGGTAGCAGAAAATCCAGCAGCAGATGCATGACAGCTGTATGGGAATTAATTCATGCTGCCTCCTCAAAAAAGGACAGTTGCAGGAAGCCTAGCATAAGCTTCTGCACAGATTAAACATTGTCCAGCGTAGCTTAAACATAGCTTAAACTTTCTGGCTCCTGCAGTTGAGCTGCTGTTGTTACAGGGTTCTAAGTATACAAGCTACGCTTTCTCTGAAGTTGATCAAGAGAGACAGCTGGCTGGATCAATGTGTTTGATTTCTCCCCTGCCCCAAACCGAAGTGCATTTAAAATTAAATGCAGCTATAAGTGGTAAGCAGCAGAGTTTGCGCTTCTCATCTGTCTGGTTTGCTTCCCGCTGCCTTCTGCACAGCATCACAAATCAAGAGTCTTTACTTTCTAACCAAAAAGTGAGTTTGGCAGCATGTGCTCAGCTTAACCGAGTGTCGTTCACTGCCTGACTTTAACATCAAGACAAAACTGTCTCCCTGTATTTCTGCATGTAATAAAATAGTACAGAATTTTATGCGGTTCTTTTAAGATCCAGTGTTTTCTTACAGCTGTTTTCATTAATACTGACATCAGAGGCATTCAGACTTTCATTTGTTGAAGATATTGATGAGACTTGGTACGATTGAAGTATGCTATTTGTTTGCAGGTCCTCTCTTTTCTGGCTGTTATTTTTGAAGAAATTGTGGAGGATTGTATCAACTGTCATGGGCTGTACTTCTTTGAATTTGTAAGCTGCAGTGCTTTTCTTTTGAGCCTCCTGATCCTGTGTGTGTATTGCACTATTGCATATGAAACGTTTGGGAAAGATAAAGTAAACAAAATGGTAAGGAATTTCATTTGTTTTAAATAAACCATTTAATGTAAGCTTTTCAAAACTGCTGTGGAATCAAAAGGCTGTGCAGAGTGAATCTCCTATTATTCTCCATTTAAAAAGTAGATTAAAGGAGGTTGTATTACTTTGACTTTTTCAACTTCAAGAGTCTTCTTAATATTGACAGTTTTTCAAAATTGTCCTACATGCAGGACATTAAGACTTGTGTGAAAGTCTTTCATAAAAGCTCCCACTATTACACTGTTATAATAGATCACTCCAAAAGCAATGCCTCCTATTTATTTCCATGGAAACTACAACAGATACAAAGAGTTCTGTAACACTGTGAGATAGAGCAAATTCACAGCTAGAAAATGCCATTTGTCATCACAGTCACTACTGTCATCTGTGCATTTTCACCAGAGATGAACAAAAGCCTGCATGTCGTGCTTGTAAAAAAAAAAAGAAATTGCACCAGTGGAGGTGACCCACTGTTGCTGTCACCACTGCTGAAATGCACCATTCACCACCTCATTGTGTCAACATTTACTGTTTGGTCTCCATAAACATTCAGCAAGTGCCAATGGATGTCAGTGGGTGCTGTTTTTTCCACATGGTGGAATTCAGTTCCACCCCATTGCTTCAGATGCACTCCCGTGTCAGACACCATTCTGTCAGACTGCCCCTTTGATGCCATCTGTCACATAGCAGCAACACGTAATGGGATATTGGTTGGGAAGGTTCAACCTCTGCTGCCATCCATCAACATCTGCCTGCTTCTGACCTTGTGGGCCATCATAATAAATTAGGAGGCATTACTTTCAGAGCAGCCTTCATATGTATGATATGGCTTTCTGCCAGCATGGTACTTGAAATCTGCCTGTCTGCAGTATCTGTTTTTCTACGGAGTGTAGCCTACCTCCTTTCTGATAATGACTGTACTGGTTACTGCTCATGCTTTTATGTTTCACAAGGCACACTGTTGGCACAGTGTCACCCTGTGAAGTCGGGAAGGCTGTTGTTTTTGGACTGTCCTTTCAGTGCAAGCAGTAACAATAGGTGAAGGTACAGATAAGGGAGTGTAGTCAGAGATCTGAATGAGCACCTTCACTTACAGGTTTCTAGTTTCCCAGATGGAATAATGCTAGCATGACTGACCTGCGCTTGGATCTGACTGTGAAAAAGGTTAAATGTAATGAGAGAAATACCGAAAGAAGATTAAAAAAGAAAAAGGATTTTATAAAGTTGACTTTTAAAAATAGTTAATGATATTGAATGTTGGTTGGTAGTGAAATCAGTTTCCTGACTCTCCCACGAACTTCAGTGTTTCAAATAGTAAATTCATTGTCAGATTAACTTGGTTGCTGTTAGGATGTTTGTTTGTTTCTTTGTTTCCAGGTAGCATATCTACGCTTGTGTAACATTCATTTCTTTTATTTGCAGAATTTTTGGACCATGCTAATTATAGGTGCCTTCTTTCTAATAGCTTCAATAGTGCTTGCTGCAACCAGCTCTGGGTCTGCTTTTGAAAAAGCTGCTTGTGTAAGTCTTATAATTGTATCATTTACTTTACATTTAAATTGCATCTTAATTTCTCTGCTCTTGAAACCTCACTCAGTTTGCAGGCAAGAAGCTGGGCAGGGAACAGACTTCAGTGCATTACGTTGTTTCAGGAAGAGAGAGCTAATTTGGAGCTTCTACAGGCTGGAAAGCAGGCATTCCTTAGGACTTCTGGAAAGCTCTGTGTACTCTTGAGCTCCCTGGCATCTTCATTCCTCGCTTAATTTTGCTCCCTTGGCTCCGTGTTCTTCCCTGTCCTCTGTCACTATTGACAACACTGCCTTCTCTCACCACTCCCTGATAATCTCCTCTCTGAAAAGCAGATCAGCTGCATTTCCATAATATTCTGCAGTTGTAAAGTCAGCAAGCAACCATATCTTTTGTCAGGCATTATAAAACATATGTAGAGAATGCTGGCTTGTAAAGGCTGTGATAAGAATCACAGTTTCCTCAGTGACAGAAATAGAACAACGGGGCATGCATCTCCCGGGAACAATGAAAAGGCTCAGAGCAATGCACTGTAGAGACTTTGTGGCATAGATCCTCACTTATTTGGCACTCTTTTTAAATAACCTCGAAATTGTGAATATGTGAGTTTAAAAGATCAAATTTTGATTTTTATTCTTGAATGAATTAAAAATGGATTAGAAAGGAAAGCGAAATACTTCCACTCCATAGGCAGGATGAGCTATTGGATACGCACATTTTCGTGTGGTGCTCTGTTTTGCTGCTGATGTACTCATACCTAATGGTTGAAATATAAAGGCTCCCCATTTTTTTCTTTTTTTTTCTTTTAAACTGGAAAAACAAAGTAATTGTGATTTAAGACTTATTAGTGTCTAATTGCTTTGGGGAAAAACAGCTGCTTAAACTCAGTCAAAATGAGTGTAAATGTGTACATTTGATTCCTTGGTTGAAAGAAGATGCTAAAACCAACCTGCTTACCACTCTTCTGCTATGAATAACAATGAAACTTGTCATCCTTACTTGCTGACCCAGCAAGGCCTTGCTGAGCTTCCGCTGCTTTATCTCTTCACCTTCCATCTGTTACTCTTCTTTGCTTGGTCCTTCTAAACTGCATGCATCTGTTGTATAACTGTTGTGCTACACCATCAATGCTATACTTCTTCAATAGTTTTACTGGAAAAAAAAAGAATATATAAATATGTATATACTTCCACTATTAAGATCTGTTTAGAAAATATTCTAATATCCACAGCTGATTAAGAGAATGAGAACTGTAAAACCTTTTACATTTTATATGCTACAGTATCACTTCCAACCCATTGCCAATTTAAATGGAACTAATGATTTAATATATGAGCATTATTAACAGATCTCTCCAGACACTTAGAATACTGTCAGTGTTTGTACATTTTTAATTCCTGTATTCTTTTCACTTTCATAGGTGTTTGGATTTTTTGCAAGTGGGGCATTTTTAGCTGAATTTATATGGGAACTTTGGTGCAGTCGGAAACAAAGCACTGAAGAACGCTCTGAAAATCCAGGCCACACTCAAGGTGCCACAGAAGATCAGCCACTGAATAAGCCAAGCTAAACTTTCTGAAATTAGTTCTTTTTTTTTTTTGAGTGGAGCAAGCTAAAACAAAGTTTCAATGCTCTGTAGGTAATAACTTCTGTCCCTTCCTTCTAATCAGTTTTATTTGTCACAAAAATTTAAAGATCTGCAGGCAAGTAGTGATATCTTGAGCATTGTGGTTTATTTAATTTTCTAAGCAATTGGTCCTGCCACCTATTTAGGTGGCATACATTAAAAAAAAAAAAAGTGTAAATAGAATAACTGAAGGACAGTAGTGTGCTGAATTGATTTTGGTAGAAGTGACTAATAAAGGGAAATATGTGATGCAGAAGTTCTTAGTTATGCTCTGAAGACATTTCCTATATAACTTGGACCAGATACTTCTCTTACAAGTTCCAAATTAGAAGAGCAGAATTCATTCTTATTGGTCGAACAGTGAAATGTAAGAGACATCTAACTGCAGCCTTACAAAAATGCTTATCCGTATGTAAGAGTGTGGGATTTTGTTTTTACTATTCAATCTCTTTCTTCAGTTCTGCCTGTGAGATCATTTTAATGAAAGCAAGGAGTTTTTATACAGGGGGTAATGTAGTTGTTTATTAAGGAGAGAGCTTTGCACATCGTGTTCATCGGTGTTCACACTTGGATGACAGAATGTTTTTTCAGATTGTTTCAAAACCAAGAAAATTTGCAGGAATAAAGAAAAGCTGGCTGTGAGAGGAAAAATTGAAGAATAAGTATTTTCACAAAGTAACCTTAAATTAGCAATTTGAACATCAATGGGAAAAACATTACTTCACACTGGTACTATCCAGGTGAATATGATTTGCAAGGTTAATCGCATACACACCTTGTCTATGCACAGTTAATGGTAGCTTTACTGGAACTGTTGTGGACCATGTCATTTTCTTTGCTCTAGTGCACTATGGACTGGCTGGCTCAGCTGGTGAGCAGGTAAATAAGTACTTGTACCCTAAAGCAACAGGCCATAGGACTGCAAGAAACACTGCTGATGCAGCATGTATCAGACCAGTGATGGACATATCAGGCTAGATGCTGATGGCTATAAATAAAATGGAAAAAAGGCATTTTTTTAGATGTCTGAGGTAGAAGCAAAATTGCTAGACATGTAAAGGGATGCCCTCAAAAATAGGGCAACATGCCATAAGCCAAGAGATGTTCCAAAAATACCAGAGCACGTGAGAAAAAAAAGGCTGATTACGCAAAAACAGTTGTTTTTGAGTTCTCATGACATCTGTAATGTCTTCCAGGCATTAACACCATTTATCAATATTCTTGTCTGACAAGTTTATAGTCCTGTAACCTGCTGTGGCAGTGCTGAGACTAAGCCCTCCAGAAATTGTGTATGAGAGCTGTATTTGGAAAGGGATGAGGAAGCCAGTGTAAGAGAAAGCAGTGTAAAAGGTCAACTTTTTTTTCCTGGTACTGTTACTTTCAGATGAACATGAGTTTGTGATGTTCTCTCCCTAACCTCTGTGCCTTAACTTTAACACTACACTTTGCTTGGGGAATGTAACATTTTGACAGCTGGTGTGAAGCACCAAGTTTAAGCTGTGTGTTGGTTTCAGAGCCATGCGTAAAATACATATTTCTTTGTATGGAATTTCTTGCCTTGAAGATGAAATGTTATTTGGACTGTCATTTATTTTCTTGTATTTATTAGAATCCATTTGCACTAACCTGATCTCAGTGTAGGTGTACAGAGCTTATTGTAGCTGTGTCTGAAAACCGGGTAGATTAGAGATGTGTTTGTTTACAATAGGCAATAGGAAACTGGTCATAGGGAGAAATATCTCTGCTGCAATTCGCAGTGTCTGACTTTGGCGTATATGTTCACAATGGTGATTAGCATTTTAGGTTGGTGTGAGTTTTTTGTGTGCTTGTATTTGTTTCTTTTTTAGTTTATTGCCCAAGATTCTTATGAATTTTTTCAACATTGAGATTTCTGTTGTTTCTTAATCTTGATGCTATAGAGTGTAAAATTAACAAGGTGCTGCTGATATTATTTAACAATGCAGGACCATGACAAAATTTTCTCTTGGAATAATCTTTCCTTTTTTTTTTTTCTTTTTTTTTTTTCTTAGTTTAAAATATATGAAGAGAGTTATGGGTTTTGATTACCTTCTCTATCGACTTTTCTCTGCCTAAGTGATTTGCTATTGGCATGCGTTCCTGAATTGGAGATGTAGGTACTGAGAGGGATCCATGAAATCATTTCTCTGCCTTAGGCCTCCCTATCCTGTCTGGTATCTACCACTGATTCTTTACAGACAAATTGGAATACAGAAGTTATTTTTACAAAAAGGTGCCACAAGCAGCTGGTGTCAGAAGTGACTGGAACTGAGTTCTGACTCCTATGACCTGTATCAGACCTTCTGAAACAGAAATATTGCCAATCTTTGCAGAATAGTTTGGTGGATTCTCTTGCTACGTACATGCTGGCATCCCTGGAGTATTTCAGGTTGTTAAGAGTGAGGATTTTTTAACATACACTTCATTTTCCTTGTAGCTGTTCCAAGCAGTTAGCGTTTACACATTCTCTCACTAACTGACTGATCTGTGTATGGATTTGAGAACCAAATTCTGTTGACTGAAAGGGATGAAAGCATTGCCACCAGCTAATGAAAATGAGCAGGTAGTTTTCTGGAAACTGGTTAGATCTGTTTTCCCTTGTCATAGGATTTGAGACGTGAAATTCTTTAAAACAATACGTAGTGCTCCATCCCAGATTCTGTTTAACTGGCATTCATCTGTCATATAGTACAGTAGTTAAATACCACATATGGGCTGAGTTTGAGGTAATTGCTAAACTGTTGCTACCAAAACAGCTGTTTGTTAACAAAGCAGTTTCTGTATGGTTGTACTGTCAATCCTAGGCTTTTAAGCTTGAGGGTAGGGTGTAGTTGGTTTTCTGTTGTTGTTTAGAAATAGTTGGGAAAATAGTTGGGAATGAGGCTTGTTTGTATCTATGCAGTTCTCTGCTGCTGCTTAACTTGCTTTGTCAGCTCCCCAGGGTACAAGGGCAGATGTGTGTCTCTGCAATCCTCCAGGCCAGGTAGGATGAGAGACTTCCTTACTACCACAGCCAAGCAGAGTGGTCTCCTGCTGTCCTGATGTACTCCTGTCATGCTCCCGGTGTCGGTTGTAGGCTTTGAGTGTCTTTCCTCCCATTAGGCTGATCCCAAAGGATGGCACTGGATTAAACATCAGTTTTTGCAGGAGCTCTTTCTGGCTGTACGTCTCCTATACTCGTGCACTGTCAGCAAAGTGGTTTGCAAGTTTCCCAGCCTGTTCCTGATTAAACAATCCTGCTTTCTTTAAATTAGCTATTTACATTGCTAAACGAAGTTGGCTGAATTTGACTGAAGTGGATTAGGGTTATTCAGGAGAATGGTGGGAGCTTTAGCAGGAGGGCAGTTACAAGAAACTATCTTAAATTTCTTTTCCTGATTGCAAAGCAGCCACAGTTGTACAGTCTTAACTGATAGTAAAACCTGTGGAGAGGAGCAGTCAAGCTGAAGACTGTCTTCACCTTCTTCAACACTGTGCTTGGCAGTGGTGCTGTGAGCCTGCTCAGCATATTCAAAGCCTTCTCCAGTCGAGCACATACAAAAATATTTGAAGGCTCCACATTGACTCTCAGGCATCTCTTATGCTTATGGTGCTGTGAGAATCAGTGCAGAGGGTTCTCCAGGACATGTGAAGACTTGCTGTTAAGTAGCTGAACTGTGAGTTTTTGCTCTGAAAAGCCACATGTACGTTATGTAGAGTGTGAATTTTTAAAGCATTAAGCTCATATAAAATCATAATGCTAGCAGTGCCCTTTGGATTCAAGTATTTGAAGGAATTGTGCCCTACAGCTTGTACTCTGTGCTTGCAAACAGCAGGGCAGGGTTGTGGTCCTGTACTGTTTGGTTCTACCATTGCACCCACCAACTTTAAAATGCAGTGAACTGTTTCATGCAATGCTATGAGCTCAGCACAAGATGTTTTTGCATAATGGCCATTGTGGTAATCCTCACTCTGTTCAAATCTGTGCAATAAAAATACCAAGCTTACTACACTGAAGGGAAACATTTTGTGAGATATTTGAGGGGTTCTATGAAGTTGTAATGAATTAATATGCTGGTAGTGCCTTTACGATGAAAATTCATCTTTGTTTTATTTTATTGCTGTAAGCAGCGGGAGATATCTAGATTAAATTTTATGCTGTTCAGAACTATCACTTTCATACCTTTGAGAACTTAAGTGCCTTTTAATGATTATTAAATCAGAATGATAATGCAATTGTTTTATATATATTAAAAAAAAAAAGCATATAGTTTCGTAGCCAGTGTTGCCTTGAACTTCCATTAAAATAATTGTGAAATGTTTAATTATTTTTCCATTCTAAATCTGTCATCTTTTTAAAGTATTATGTTCTTTTTGGTCCTTAAAAATGTTTTGTAATCATTTTTAAAATAAAATATTAGTAAATGAGTTTCTTGTTTCTACTGCTAATGATTCGGTATCAGTATGTAGTTCTCCCAGAACAAACCACAGGAAATAACCTCATTCTTTGTTCCTGGTTTGGAGGAAGGAGCTTGCATTGTGTTTGCCTGTTACTGGGGAAGAGTGTCTAACTTGCAAACCTGCAAAGCTGGATGTTTTCAGTGGAAGCTTCCAGGAAGAAAGGTCCAATAAGGTCAGTATTGTCCCATGTCACAGGGTCCAAACAAGCTAGTCAATGACAGACTTCACACCTACTATGGCCTAAGAGTTACTGCAACAAGTGTAATTCAAGTGCTGGTTTCCTACTGTCTTGATTAGTTGGAGGTAAGAAATGAAGTGGTAAACTTGTTAAAGGAAGGAACACAAATAAACATAAGGCATCATAAGGTGTCAAATTCTAACTTTTGGTGTAGAAAAATGCAGGTGACTGAGCTACCAGGAGGAGGAGTCACTGGATCCTTTAGAAATGTTTTTGTCTGATTGTTGGTGGCTGGGGTATGGAAAAGGAAATAATAAACTTGCATGCTTTCTGGCAGGGTAACTTTTTTTGTTTTATAATCAGGTTGCTTCTTGCCTATTCATCTTGGGACCAGGAGGAGAATTGTACTTTTTTATCTTCTACACTGAAATTGGAGTAATGTACTATATTTTTCTTTATATTATTTATTAAATGTGAAATTTCCTATGATGAATTTGCCAGAGATGAATGTGAACGTACGAGTTCATGAGAGGAAAAGGCCTCTAATACCATAAACTAAATTAAATTTGAAAACTAGGTGCAATATACAATACAATAAAGGCAAAATGTAGTAAGGGGGAATTGCAGTGGTGGATTTACAGAGCGAGTTCTAAGAAACTTGATTAAGATTTAATAATTAAAAGCATAACCACAGTTTGTCCTGTTACTGCAAGAACTGTGACAACTCCTTTCTCAGCAGTGTAATCCAAATTAATTTACTGTAAATTAGCAGAATGGCAGAGTAGGGCTGAACATAGATTGGTAATCTGCATCTTTTCTTTGTGAGTGGCACAGGCACCTCCTGATTGCTGTTGTGTGCTGACCACCTGCCTTATTGCACAGCCTCCTTCATGTGGCTGTGCAGGAACCTCCTTGGCTGGGTTGTGGTTTTGACTTCCCTTTGAATTCAGAACAGCTACTCTTTGCTTGCTTAAAGGGAGCACAAGGAAGTCGAGTAATGTTTTTGCATTCTGTTGGTGCTTACCCACACGGTGCAGCTGTTCACATACTGCTGTCTGCATCTGCTGAGAAACTGCAGGAGAAAAGTTTGCCCACAAGAGGGCAAAGACGGTCGGGTAATTGAAATGATCTGGTCCGAAGCACTCTGTTCTCTTCCGACCTGTATTTTCATTGGAACCGAAGCCCATTTGCCCTCTGTTTTTGTCAGTGTGACTATAAGTTGAACAGAGTATTTTAGTGATCATTTTTACAGTCACTTCTTAAAATGCAGCTTGGTGGATTTCTGGTAGTAGATCAATTCTGTTTCAATGCAATACTTCAGCTAAGCAGTTTGGAACAGTAAAGGTTTTGCTTTTATTCCTTTTGTTTTGTAACCTGTCAAGAGATCTCTTTAAGTTTTCCTTATTTTTATTATGAAGTCAAGCTTCAGCTACATGATGACTCTGTACCTATAATGCAGTATTGCAGCTTTGAAGACTTTTGTGCTCTGTACTACGCTCTGGCTTTCGGTTGAAAGGCCTGTTGATTCTGGGTAGGTGAGAAGGCAGAAGAAAGGAATGGGGAATACCTGTGCATTTCTTAGACTCTGGGGAGGCTAAATGAGAGAAGCTTATTATCAAAACAAATGCAAATGATGCATGCTGGAAAAATGTCAGGGTCCACAAACAGAAATGTTGGCACACATAGCTGTAAAGCGTGCCTGACAGGGCTGCTCGCATTTCCAGTCCTCCACAGGCACCACAGCAAAACTTGCTTTGAGCCACTTGCATGTCCTGATCACTCATTCAATTTATTTCATATGACCTATTATCTCTTGGCTGAATATTAGAACAAGACTGGAGAAATAAAACAGCCTGGGCTGTTTTGAAGTTGGCACGTCCTGAGGTGAGAGTCAGGGCTTCACAAGGAGGTGACAGCATAAACACATTCTTCTGTAGCACAACTCATTTGCAGCTTGATGAGGACAACACACAACAAGCATATCCAGTCAGGTATCTGTTGCTAGATATTCTGCACAAAAGCATGTTGTCGTCTGCAGTGCCAAGTTTGAAGACTACTTCACAACTCCCTTTAGCCATCACTTGTGTTTGTCATAAGACTTACTGAAGTCATAATATTGTACAATGTAAGCATTACAAGTTTTTTATTATTATATTCTCTACTTAGAGAATTACTAGGTAAAGTGTTGCTCAAAATAACCCATCTGACTGTCTTCCTTACAGCCTTCCTTCTAACCGCTTCCTTTGCACTGGCTGTCATTCTTCTTCCAAAAATCTCAGTGCAGCCACTATTCTGAAATCCCCACACCCACCGATCTGTACGTAAGCGAAGAGTGGTTACTTAGCCACTTTGTAGTCTCTACACAACTAACCTAAGACTTGGAACTGCTGCTTTATAGTGCCAAGAGCTTTAGCTTTAGCTGCATCTCTGCTGGTTTCTCAAAGCTGCTGAGATGAAGTGACTGTGGAGGTCTAGCTGAGGGGGTACAATGCAGCATTAGAAACCAGTCTAGTTAATGTAAGTCTGCCTGTTTTCTGTCTCACAGTTCTCTTGCCCAGAAAGGCTTGTTTTATGAATGAATAAATGTTGTCCTTGACTTGGTACAGTTTTTTAATTGTTAACTCTTGTTTCTGGCAGTGGCGCCTCTCATTTGAGGGTAACAAGGGCATAATTATTCAGCTCTCACGCATCAAACTGCTGAGCATGAGGTATTAATGGAGTGCTTTGCCGCCACCATAGCTTAATAGCTGCAGCTGCAGTGCTGTGCTCTTGTTTGGCTGGGGCTCATGAAAAAGGGGTATGGGTATGCAGCTCATTAAGTGTCATGTTAAGAGTGATTTACAGACATAGAAATAACAGTAGATTGTGCTAGATGGACAAAGCACTTCTGATATATAAGGAGCTATTATACCAGCAGAGCTGTGATTCACACCCATGTCAGGGAAGCCATCAGCACTAGTCTACCTTGGTATAAGCCCCAGTGATCTCAGAAAAAAAAAAAAGCAAAAAAAAAAGCTGTGCTCTGTAATTGTGTGTGCTGCAGGACTGTACTATGGGGAGGGTTGGGAGGGAAGAAATCAAAACTTAAACTGATGCTTTTAGTTAGCTACAAGCTTTGAGGTCATAGTATTGTAGATAGTGATACACAGCTCCCAGCTTACTCTCTTCACATCCACCCAGCTATTGCATGAGCTCTGTTACTAGCCAAGGCACGTGCTGGAGTTAAGAGGTATGTGCTGCTGCAGCTCCACATGGCAAAGCAAATCTACTCCAGCCCTACCCTGAGATGTTCCACTCCACCTGGTAGCTGATGGAGGAAGAGGCGCATCAAGAATTAGCAAAAGGGTAACATATGTTCCTGAGTCACTGTGCTGCTGTGAATCATCTCTGCTCTCCTCTTCATTGAGTGCACAAGGAAGAATGGCTTAAGTATTAAGGCCGGTCCTAAGCAAATAGCCTCCAAGAGACACAGTGCTTGTCTGTGGCAGAATGAAGTTTATTACTCTCATTGGGCTATGAAAAACAAGGATGATGTAATTTCCTAGTCTGTCCCTGTTAGGGTTAGGAGCTTCTGAGGCTACACCTTTGTTTTCTTCCGCCAGGTTTCTAGAGCCTTGCTGCACTTCCTCCTATGCCATAAGGCTACTTGACTGCTGTTGCTCTTCCTGCACAAGTGTAAACATTTAAGAACAGAACACGTGTTTCAGACACACTGAATTTACAGCTGACTCTGTTAGTGGTCTGGCGATATTCTGCTCTGCAGAGATAAATGACCCACCACTCTGCTTGGCCTACTATGTCATCCACACACCAGCTCCGCTTCAATTGCTGGGGCATTTTTTGTCTTTCTGGCAGTCCCTTCCTCAGCCACAGAAATATGCAGATGTTTCCTTCACCACCAACCCCTACTTTTTTCTGCACCTGGAAACACACACACACTGAACACAGGTTACTTGATTCATTGCTTTCCTTCTGTGCAATTCCCTCTCTTCTGCAGGTGCTTGGTTTGCTAAGCAGTTGTATAGCTTTGTAGGGTTCCAACCGTATGGCAAGTCTCTACAGTCTCAGGGAAGAGGAGTTCTGAGTGTGATTTACAGGGCAGTACCTCTGTGCACCAGAACAGGACTAGCACAGTTTAAGGGCCAACCAAAGCAACCTGTATACTTTGTAGCAGGGAGTGTTGGCATGGGACACCCGTGCTTAACACTGTGCCTCAGTGTTACTTCATGCTGCTGGCTGAATTCCCTCGTACAGGGAGGAGGGCAGGATGGCTGTGCTTTTGCTAATGTCTTAGGTTGCAGCTCATTCATTTCAAATGGTTGCTTTGTGCACTGCTGTTATTCTAGGTCTATAAAAATGTAAAGATCGATATAAAACATCCACAACACCTGGGGCGTTTTGAATTTAACTCAGCTCAAGCCAGGATCCAAAGAAGTGCATTTCAATTGAAAGCAGCCAGTTTATCTACTTCCTTTCTTCTGCTTCAAAAACTAAGGCTTTCCTAACTGGGTAATCTCTGCAAGACTTCTGCTGCTCAAACACAAGCTGTACCTGAGAGCAGTAGGCATGCACCCACCGATAAAACTGCTTTTGAAAACATTTATCATATGCTCCTTTTCACGAAGCTGCAGTTCAGCACTATGGAACAAACAGGTGCCGCTGGAGGCCATGTTCAGGATGTGATAAAAAATCACTAACCTGCAGAACAGCGGTGCTCTGAGCTGCTCTCTTGGGAAATGTTGGGTCACTTTGATTTTGGTTTCATTTGCACTTTTTTTTCTAGCTCTGCTCTCCTCAATCCCCAGTACCATCACCCTAAACGGAAATGGTTGCTCTCTGCCTCACTGTTACTAACCCTTCCTATCACACTGCTGTCCCAGTTGCTTTTGCCAGCACAAAACAATCTGCTGCAGTATCGTACCTGTGGCTACTCTGTATTTCTAAAGCCCAGCTCTCACACCACCATAGCCAGAACATACCAGAGATTTCAGAATCTAAATTCTGCCTCACTGTAAAGTTGAAAGCTTGTCTTGGCAGCTACTTCACCCATGAGGGAGGAAACTCCTTGGGGTTGCACTGTGGCTGGGCCTGGCAGGTGATGAGAGCTTGTTTGGTAGTTAATAAATTGTAAAGTCATTAGCCCAGTAAATCAGTGCAGATACAAGGTGACAGTCAAAAAGAGCATAAAGCTATTTTATGGGCTTCTCCTTTGGATTCAGACTCCAGCTGGTGGGAACCCACTGCATACCGGTCAGTCTCTACCAATAAACAACGGCACATGTTTACTGTGTGCCTGCAAGAGGCTGGTGTGCTGAACAGGGGACTGGCTGAGACTGTTGGACTCCGGGCTCAGGAACAGGCAGAATAGAAACAAACTTCAGAACGGCCAGCTGGAGGTAATGAGCAACCTCTAGAATGGCTGTGTGTAGGAAGGAACAGCTTTTCCTGTTTTCCAGCTACTGTCTCACGTTGGAAAAAAAAAGTAATCGTCCTTCTCCAGGAGGGAAGGACAACAGTGTGAATTTCTGACCTGCTTTCATGAAGTTAAACAAGTCCTGGGACCAGGGACCAAAACCACAAGCTGCGTGTTCCCAGCAGGAACTGTGAGAGTGTAGCCCTATGCATCTGCAAAGGAGAGAAAGGTAAGCCAAGGGCACAGACCCTGCACGTGTGCTGCAGTCAGAAAATGAAACAGCCTGAATATGAGGGATGCACACAGCCTGCTCAAGAATACCCCAGAACTCTGCAGAGAGGGCACTCTCCTGCTCCATGGGCTCAAAGAATGGCAGGTTGGCCTCCTGCAGGCCTCTCTCACTCTCACACTACAAGGAGCACCTCCAAGGCTCCAGCCCAGGGCTAGGCTCAGCAGTCGGGCCCAGTGATGCGTAACTGCAGCTTTCCTTATCTCTGTGGTGAAGAAGTCCAAATGCAGGTGTGCACCCCTAGCACGAAGGGTGCATGAGGCCCGTCTAGCACACAGCTCCTCCAGCACCGCAGCAGCCCTTCACTTTCCATTTCTCTAAGAAAAACAGTCTTAAGTTAAACAAGGCCAAACATGTGGCAACTTGACACTACTTTCCTCAGCCTCTAGGTCACGTTTATTGCAACTTCCTTAAGCTGTAGCAGAACATGAAATTCCTAGACAAAGGTATGTAATACATCTACTGTGGGAAAGCAGAGAAGAGAGACAGGCAGGTCTGCTGTTTAAGCTCTGATGTAGCCATGAACTATTGATATCTGCCAGCTCCTCTGACAGCAATTAATGTGCTCACATTAGATCCTTCCCTCGTAAGCCTTCTACTAATGTTTGCACCTGCTTTTTCCTCCTTGTGCCCTGTGCCTTTTTGTCCTAATGAGCTCATAGTCCTCTTTCCTGGAGCATCACTCAACATTCCCTCCTTCATTAAAACCATGAAATTAATTCATTTTTGACCCAACATCCTGTTGTCTCATATTCCACATAGTGATGTATTCCTAAATCCTCTGTAGAAGCACAGAATCCAGTCCCTTGCAGTAAACACAATGCAAAATGCAAGTACTTTAGGGCAACAGAAAAAACACTCACATAACCTGCAGTCTTCATCCAGTACTGTGCTCCTCAAGCTTTTCAGAACCTTCCTCTTTTTTTTTTTTTTGGTAGAAGTTTCATTTCCCCTTCTCACTTACCCAGTTCTTAACCTCACAAAGGCACTATTCAATCTCTAGCTTTTCTCAAATCCCCAGAGGTCAAACACCAACTTTTTCTTTTTTTTTCATTATGAATCAGTTTGTTACTCATTTTCTTCTCTATTTTTTTTTCTTCTTTTTAAATTCAATTTTCAGCAAAAGTGAGCCTCAAGATCTACCTGTGTTGATTCAAAGGAACAACAACACTCTTTTTGGGACTGAAGAGGATGGACATTTCTGTGGGGGACAATCAAGAGATGGCACATCTACACACCAGGGAAGGTGAATAGTTTTTTTCTGGGGCTCATAACATCTTTCATCCTCCCGAATGCTTCCTGATGTTGCCCAGGCAGAAAATCACTGCACTGGTAAAGGAAAAAAAAAAAAAAAAAGAGGAGCAAGAAAACAACCCAATTATCAAAGCCATGACATCATCCAAATAGCGAACATACATAGTTTATTTTTAAAACAGCTGGAATCTCATATTTGACAAAGTCAAAGACAGATGGAGCTTTCAGAACGAGGCTGACACTGAAGGAAAGTTAAAATGCTTTTGCTGGCATAGGTACAGTAGTGAGGTGCCAAAGTGTCTGTCAGACAGAGCTGTCATTCAAAGTTCTGCTAGTAGGTTTTGGTATCACCAAAAGCTGTGCATTTTCTGGTAGACATGTTTCACAAGAATCGGGGAGAAGTGAGGAAGTTATATCAGCAAATGTCAGCTTTCCAGCCTAAAAGCATCCTGCTTTAAGAGCTTCTGGTAGGTCTATGAACCCAGCAGTGTCTCAACAACAAAAGCTACAGGCATATCTTATGCCTGTTGATGGGTACATAACCTAGAAGGGAACTTTGTCTCTTGATCCAGTGTAAACAAGTGCAACAAAACAGATTCTTTGGGTGATCAGACTGTGTCATCCAGAAATCCTCTGGTGGTTGGACTGCAAGAAATTCCCTGTAAAGGTTCCCTCCCCCCCACTCCCAAATAGTAGCAAGGGACAGAGTCAAGAGGTAGACTGAAAAAAAAAAAAAGATAGAGATGAGTATGCAGTGCACAGAGAGGGGCAAGGTTCCAGCAGAGCGTTGAAACAGCCTGTTCTTCACCACAAGCTCAGCCCCAAGCCCAGCCTAAGCAGATGCATCTCCCCATTGCCACCACAGCTCTGTGCACTCAGCTGCATTCATGCTGAGTGCAACTGAGCACTTGTTTTCCTTTGGATTGCCAAGATGGGCGAAAGCCTGTGGAAGGTGCCCAATACCTATCCGAGCAGCATTCTCCAGAGGCAACAGTGCTACTGTCAGAAACAGCACTTTCCTGTTCTCCCATTGGAAAGAAGAGATTGTTTCCTTAAATACCTACCATGTCAATCCAAACTCAAGTCAGGGTGCTGATTTCCAAAAACTGTGGCTAAGTCAGTCTTGGCAGGGGAACCAGTGAACAACCACCCTTAGTGCCAAATAAAAATCAAGCCACATACATGTATATCATAATCTTCTGTAGTCTTTTCAATCACAGTAAGATTTATTTGAATAACCTTCTGTATTCATGTTGAAGCAGTTTGTCTTGGAGTGAACACAGGTTTTTTGATCCACAAGAAGTAGACTTCTATGCATTCAAACTGTTTCCTGTTCTGTGTTGTTTTAAGTCACTCAGGGAAAGAAAGCAATAAGAATCACAGAAACCATGCACCACAAGAAGTGAGATTCCTGCCTTTCCTGGTTGTCTGCTCAGTTCTTTTCACTTTACCAAGATTCTTAGAACTTTAGAAGTTGGCCCATTTCTCTTGTCCAAGAGTGAAAAAGAAATAAAATAAAACAAAAAATCACTGCAGAGACCCATACATAACAATTGGCAATGTATGTTGATGTGCTATGGGGCACAAAAACATTTCTCAAAAGCCAATCATTAAATTAATTAGCAGCATTTTTGCAGAATTTAGGACAGGTAGAAAAATGAAGAGCAGGCCAGAAAATGCTTCTTTCCTCCAGTCTGGGTCAGGTAAAATATATAAATCCTGATTTTTTATTTTATTTTATTTTGCCGAAACGCACTCCACTGTCCTGCAATTGTCCTCACAGAAAAGACCAGCTTACAAATGCAAGTTCTGCTTCACAACAAGACATGAAAGGGAAGAGCACCAAGGGAAGAGAACTTGAGCTTCACTTTTTTCTGCCAAAAGTTTCCAGCTCACCAGAAATGGACTGCAAAAGGTCAGAAAGATAGAAGTGCCAAGAAAATAGCAGCGTTGTCTCCATCTTAAATTTACAAACAGCTTCATAACAACATCAGGTTGGAAAAAACTCTGTCCAGGCTCTGAAAACATGGATTCCAGCATAGTCAGAAGGAACAAGAAGCCATGTGTGAGAGAGAGAAAGAAGCACGCTGCACTATTTGCGATGGGCTTTCCATAAAAACCATTAGATTCCAAAGAGAATAACATCAAGGAAATGCACAGAAAATGTCCATTCCACCAACAACTATTTACGAAAAGGAAAGAAAAAGATCCCGCAAACCATTAAAGCTTATTCTTGAGTATGTATTTCCTGTATTTGGCTGAGAGAATTTTTTAATAATAATTTTTGATGGATCTGATTTCATCGTATACTGCCAGGGCTAGAAGGGAGTATTTGCAATGATTTACACAAGTTGCAGTTCGTAATTTTTGGTAGGGCTGAGCTGCTGTTGGAAACATTCTATGGTTCTGAACTTGGGTCAGCTTATCCATTCACAAATCAGTTTGTAACAGTTCCTTCGTTGAAAAACCAGCCTTGGAAGTTAAGAATCAGGCAGAAATTTGCAGTATTTCCCTTCTGTAAACAGATGGAGGAAATCAGAAGCACTTTTTTCCATCCCTTTGAAAAGAGAACCAAACAACTCTCCGAATGAGTTTTAAAGGCACTTACTGCAAATAGCTGGAAATGACTGCAGCCCAGCTTGAGAAACAGAAGCAGCATTTCTCTGTAAAGCTCAGAAAAAATATGGTTCTCCATTATGTGCTTCTTCTGGGGGGGAAGTAAACTTCTTTGGATGAGGGCAACAAAAAAACTTTGGTTCATAACATTATTTTGCATAAAACTTCAAGTAGATCTTCAAAAGCCACTGACTGTCCAGACTAATAACAAAATACCCGTGCTCTCTCCTCAGTGATGGACGGTCCTCTGTAGTATAGTATTTTGTAAGGCAGAAATCTTGCTGAGATGGAGGAGTCATACAGCTGCATCTTAGAAAAGGAAGACAGTGTCACTTGCACCACCACAAACAAATTGAATTTACTTGATTAAAGAACGCACAGGAAACCTTGTTTTGGTGGGAGGGTAGGGGGGTGTGGAAGATGAGACAGCACCGATACTTGCTAGAGGCAAGTTATTTTGCTCCACTAGTTAGCTGTGAAAAGTTGTCAGTAGCTGTGACACATTCGTTGACCAAAGTGTAGAATTACTGCTTTGTGAGTAATTTTGAGTAACAAGGAATAGGCTGTTAATAAATCCTCCCAGGCAGATACTGCCATGGGAAAATATAAATATTCATTTCGAGAAGCATTTTGGCAGGCACTAAGCACGATACTTACTTGTTGACTGCGTGATGCAAGAAACCTTGTAGGATGACCATATGCTTAAAACACAAAGGACTGTAGCTAGGAATCCAAACGTCTGAATGAAAAAACAGACAAACCACAAATACTTACCATTAGATGACACATAATCCATGAATGTATGGACTCCTGTATATTCAACTATGTATTTTATGATGTTAACAGGCCAAAAATGAAATTATATTTTACTGCCATTCTGCCAATGTGCTAAAAAAAAAAATTAGTTACCATAGTATAATAGCAGCTTACGCCTTGTCAAACCAATGACTGAAAATCTTATAGAGTAGGGAGAAAAAGCTGGACACCTACACAGTGTCCCACCTGCTAGACTTCTCATTAGGACACTGCGTTAAAGAAAAGACTTATTCTGACACCTCTGATTTTTGCTCTTTTGGCAAGCCCCATTCAGACCAGTCTTTATTTGTCATCTGCCAGATAAATAAGTGTCTCCTTCTCCATCTGCATGTACAAATAATCATTGGGACCAAGCTTGTGAAAGCAACCCTTTATCCTAGTTGCATTGCATTTTAAGTTCTGTTGTCCACATTCAAAACTCGTGTCTCTGAACAACACTTCAGCCAGAGACAGAATACATCATCCAATACATAGTCCCAGGATGACAAAGGGTTTTAGCTCAGGAGAAATAATCTCTGTTTCAGGTGCAGAACATGGCAAATACAGAAGACTAGGGTGAAATGCTAACTTGCAGTTGTTACAACAGCCATCTGTCAAACCTAAATTGTCTTAATTCTTCCCCAAAACACATTTGTCTTTATGTGTTAAAGCTAAAGCTTTTTGTTTCAACACATATTCATTTTAGTGGTGAGACTGGAGTCTCACGAAACCTTTTTGTTGGTGTTATGTTAAGGAACAATCACTGAAATGAGATAGAAGACAGTACACCAACCAAGAAACAAGCAAGACAAGTCTGTAAGAAATCAAAGTGACAAGCAATGGATTTCTAGCACTCAACTTACATTGCAAAAAAAAGCATCAAGACTAATAAACAAGTCCTTACCGCTCCAGCCACTAGTCCAGTCAAATTGTAACTCTTCGATGCTGCTACAATTGATGCAATGAGAAGCAGAATTGTACCAATTAAATAATGGAGAAATTCCTGTAAAGACAAGCATAGATTGCTTCAGAAGGAAAACTTACCAGAAAAGCATTTCAGTAACCATCAGAATCAGAACAAACTGGCAGTGGTTACTCAAAGTTAAAAAAATAAAGAAAAACATAAAAAACAACTGACAGGTTTCTGTTTGAAAGGGAAAGACCAATCTGCAGCTCTACTAAATGTCACTGGAATAAAATCTACTTAGTGGGTATGGACTCCATCTTTTTCATTCAGTATGGTACAATATGGGGGGAAAAACATGTATCTTTATTGTACCAAGAATGCAATTTACTCAAAGACACCATTTTGAGGAAAGGAAGAAGCCTTGGGGGCACATTTCTCTAGCCTAACATACATGAAATAGCAATGAGTAGCAGAGGAAATGCAAGTGCTTCTATTTCTAATCAGAAAATAAGCTGGATTTACTAACAACTTTCTTACATCAACCAAGCCTAGAAACAGGAGAGAAAACACAAAAAGCACAACTATGCAGACATTCATAAGCAACATCAGGTTCCAGAAAAGCTGCCCAAGTCTTGCAAGCTGCAGCTTAGTAATGTAGTAAATCAAACATGATGCAACTTTTTTCTTTTTTCTGAGGGCACTGAGGCACTACATTCCAGATTTTCTCTGGTGTGACAAATATCACCCTAGGAGTCAGTTTTGCCTCACAGTGCCCAGAGTCATCTGTGGATTTGTGTTTTGAATCCTCACGAGGGTGACATCAATCAATACAGGTCTTCAGAACATTGTGTGGTGGGGTGTCCTGGTGGGATATGTGCTTACTGATTTTGTACTGCACTACCAGCATGAGCCAGGCAAACACCACGTGTAAGGGAGACAGGAGACTCCTTCTCAAACCAAAACAGAGAATATATAGACCCAAAAGGAAATTGTTCAAGGAAATTCCAGAGGAGAAACAGTCTGTCAAACCATACCAAAGTTTCCCTCTGCTCAGATTTTTAAACAACTGAAGAGGATCCTTCCCTAAAGCAGGTTCTCAGACTACAAATTACTTTCCCCTTGTAACCTCGTTTCAGGTGATCAAGATCATAACCCCTGTTTTTGCTAGAATAAAGCATTTCTATTACAAGTCTCCTCTGGTTAGTCCACATCGCAGCAGGCAAATTAGGTATGCTGTTTCTTTCTTAGAGACATCTATTACAGCAATGTAATAGATTACAGCAAAAAAAAAAAGCCTACTACTTTCACAGAACCCAAGGGATGGAGACAAGCTGTAAGTGAATTATCAAAGGCCATGTCATGTAGAGAATGAACCCCTGGCAGGACCAGGACAGTGCAATTCTGCAAAAATGCTTTTGCAGCTTTAAAAGTTGTCGTTACAGAACAACCTCCTCAACCACCACAGCTTTACTGATTGTAAGGCACACCTCTGATTGCAATGCAGGGATCTTGCCAGGAAACTCAGCCAAACACTAATCCTAGTTTCCCAAAGTCTCTTACAGGCTTTTCAATTCTGTTCCAAAGATACTAAAATATTTGACCAAAAAGGAGGTGGTTGTAAAACCAGGGAATCACAGAATATCTCAAGTCCAACCCCTGGCTCCTCACAGCACCACCCAAAACCCAAACCCAATGTCTGAGAGCACTGTCCAAAAGCTCCCTGAACGCCGGCCCATGTCCATGCTCACTCCAACTCAGGTCCATGCTCACAGCCCTTGGCAGGCTGCTCCATGCCCACCGCCCTCTGGCACAGACCCTGTCCCTAACTCCCAACCTGACTCCCCTGACACAGCTCTGTTCTCTTGCGTCTGTCACACAGAGCAGAGCTCAGCGCTGCCCCTCCGCTCCCTCTGTGAGGAGCTGCAGCCGTCATGAGGCCTCCCCTCAGCTCCTCTGCTCTGGGCTGAGCAAACACAGAGACCTCAGCCGCTCTTCACACACCTTGCCCTCCAGAGCCTTCTCCATCTTCATAGCCTCCTCTGAACACAAACAGAATGTATAAGCATCCCATTTCGTTAAAGCTATCTGAAACTAAATAGACACAAACTGAAGTGCCTTAAGTTCACCATTGCACTGCGGAACATTTTGAAATGAACAAACAGATAAGAAAACCAAAAGGAAGTGAATGAAAAGGTCAAAGTGGCAGAGTTACAACAATTCACACATTAAATAATGCTTTACAAAACTCATTCTTTCTTCCATGCAAACATGTTATCTCTAAATAAGGACTGAAGTACTTTCTAGAAACAAATACTGGAGGTACATATTTTAAAAAGTGTTGCAAGTCTCCATTAAAAAGAACTTACTTTTTTTCTTTGCTTAGAAGTAAAATAAACTGCTACCTCACCTCTGTAAACTATTTACATAGCTTCCTTGAAAAGCCATTCAAACACTTCTCGAATTTCAAAACTTCCTCTACATCTTTCTGTTTGGCTTTTCTCACCCCTTTAGCTCTTTCTCTGTGGGATTAACAGGTCACTATGCATCCAAGAGAGATGTAGTCAGAAGTTACTAAAATCTGTGATCCCACACCAGGCCAGATGACTTTTCTGTTAGCTGATCTAATCAAAGCTGTTGCGGAAGTTCAGGTCTCTCATTTTCAGTGGTGCTTGTTAGTTCTCTGCTAGGATATAAGAGATGGATGTACAGGGGAAATGGTGGAATGAGGTAGGATATCCTGCAGGAAGTTCCTAGTGAAGGCCAGGCTATGAGCAGTCAGGCTGAGGATCCTATTTCTCGCTATTGTTTAAGTTACCTACTATTGTTTAAGTTACCTATAACCATACCAAAAAGAGTCACATTTGACTTAAATAGCACATGTAAACTTTATTTTGGGACAGGATGTATTACATAAATTCTAATGTAGTGTATTGGTACTCTAGCAAACGTGTAGCTACTATAAATGGCCAGAGTTAGGGCCCATCTGCTGACACCTTTTTCCAGTTGTCTCAGAATAACCCTATTGCCTTCACTGGAGCAAATCTGGATTTATATCTGTGTGAAGGAGAGAAGGATCTGATTCAAGTCAGCTTAAAGACTTAGAATTACAGTATCTTTTGAACTGAACACTAGTAACAAAAGCAGCAAAGGGATTTGTACACGAAAGAGAGCCTATCAACATGTCAGAGCACAAGAAAATGAACCAAGTAATCCAGACATCAACAAGAGAAGCAAAAAATGCAGGCCATCTGACAGACTTACCGCAAGTGGCCAGCTAACACAAGTGAGCGTCCTGTAGATTCTGAAAATGTGGATTATGTAGAAGAACAAAATCATAACCAAGTCGCACATTGTAACAATCTGAAAGTAGCTGTATGCACTGTAATCTGTCCACTGAGAATTATTTACACTGATGAATCCAACCAGCAGTGAGATCTGAAAGACAAAAGACACATTAGAGGTTTTTAGAGCATCTATGAAGATGACTTCAAACACAACAATATGTCATTTAGAAACAGAAGGCAATCATCCAGAGTAAACTGGATGGTCCCAACAAAATGGAGGACAAAGTAACAGGCACAAAAATGTTCAAAGCTGAGAAAGAGCCAACTGCTAAAAAGAAAGCAACGGTCCCAGACAGCCTGCGGGATCCAAACTGAAGAAGTCTGTATTACAAAACAAGAGGTCTCAAATAGAGAACAGGTGCTGAATGCCTGGGGTTGCAGCAGCAACTGGAGGACATAAACCCTATGGAATTTCAAAAGGACACGGATGGTTCACTGCAGCTGAAATCACTGAATGCTATAAAAACGAATATGCCATGAACACCTTTAGTTCTGTTTGGTGGGTGCTGGCTGTAACTGAGATAACAATTTCACTCCTCTTTTTCTATCACCTTTGCAGCAGAGGTAGTACTGGTAGGTACTGTAAGGTACTGTAAGGTACTGTATTGCAAGGTAGTACTGTAGGAAATGATGTAACCATGTCAAGAAACCTTTCAGAAGTTTTACTACGTTAACACTGTCACATAAAACCACAACTTCTGTTACTTGTAGGCTTGCAAAGGACCTGCCTAGCATGGGTAATTGAAAAAAAAAAATCTACCCAGGATACAGCCAAATATTTTATTATTACAGACTTTGGTAATATGCATTTTCAGCCTCTGTAATTTTCTGCTCACCCCAAACCAGACAGGAACAGTAATGATTCACACTTTAAATGTTTCTTCAAGACATTAAAAAAAAAAAAAATTCTGAGGAAGCCTGCACTTCAGTACTGCATGTATAATCATCCTTCAAACTCCTAATCAACTCCATCCATTACTGTTTAATTAAAGTGAAAAGGAAAAAAAAACCCAACACCCAAATAACATAGCTCAGATTCTTCCTCCAAAAGAGCCAATTCATCGTCACAACATGATGTGGTTGTTTGGACAGAGTTCGGTCAAAATAACAATTTATTGTGAAGTATAATAGAGGTTTTGCTTGCACCTGGGAGTGTGTTCTGTTTAAGCCTATCCACCTAAGCAGGTGGAATTGGGTCAAACATACAGCAGGAAGAATCTGAACTATGTTGTTTGGGTGTCAGATTGTTTTTTTTTCCTACCTTTCAAAATGTATGATACAGGTCAGTCCGTGCCTCCCCAACTAGTTTCTGCCCTCTAGTTTGGGAGTTCAACACTGGCAGCATCCCATCTGTTTGGTGCTTCTCTCTGCATCATGCCTATTCTCTGCCTCCCAACTCAGGTCTCACAGCTTAGCCACTGGGTAATCCTAAATGCACAAAGTCTTGCATTTGAAGTATGGTGGAGATTTCAGAGATGTTACATTTCATAGAAGAAGAGAAGGAAATGCTCTATAAAACTCAGCATTTCCTACTTCCAAGCCAAGTTCTTGAATTTTAAGATCATTTTAATGATCTCTCCCAAGTGAGGGAGAACAAGGGAGTAGTTAGGGCTGCACGGAAATGACGGGAAGCAGAAGCCAGGTTGGCTCAGGTTGACATTTCAGCTCCCTGAATCTTAATGTCAGCCGAGCTGAGACACCTGACTGAGCTGCTGGATGACCTGAACTGTCAGGTGGAGATCAGCAGGTCATTTATCATATTGTCTATGAGATCATTTGCAGTGATACAGGATACATGCTCCTAATAATTCAAGAAGAAAATGAAAATAACACCCAGTGAAATTTAATTCTGAAGTAAGACTCAACAACAAAATCACAGCAAGTGCTGAATCCTGCTCATAATTCACTATGGGATGAGGACAATGGCTGTCTAAACACCAAAGGCTAAAAGGAGTCTCTCTCACTCAGGTGCTTTTACAGTGACTGCTCTTCAGATTTTACACTGTACAGAACAAAAAGGGAGAGCCAGTTCACAGAAATGTTGAATCTGCCTATTAGCTCATTTCACACTTGAACCATTTCCTTTATCAACTTTTTTACTGTATACAAAGGGTAAGAAGGACTGGAGCCCTGAAATATAGCTACCATCTGAATAAGCGGCACTGGTAAGCCTTACTTACTTTAAACATTACCATATCTAGTTGCTAAGCTTTATAAGTTGAAAGCAGGGAAGCATAAAGATTTCTTTTTCTTCCTTTTAGATAGCAGGTATAAAAATTTCAGAACAAGCACAAAGGAGAGCCATCCAAAGACAAGATCAGAAAACTCCTCTGAGGAGTTGCATTCCTCAGAAGATCCAAGGGAATAAAAACATCTGACCAGCTCCTAAGAACATGGCAGAAACTTGGATTTAACAAATGTGCCTTCCATTCCAAGTGCCAATTCTCAATTAAAACAATGCCCGAAACAATTAGCAAAGACTCCTCTTTTCTCGCTTTCAGGTGTGCCTCAGTTCCCCCCATAGGTAGGAAGAAATAACTATGGGGAAGATGCATTTCTCTCAAATACTTCCTTTCTTAAAATAAATTTCCCAGCACAAGATTTACACACAAATTCTCAAGAGGGTTCTCTGATCAGAGGCACGTAATGCTGTTTCACAGGACAGGCACAAATGGGACAGGATCAAGAACTCTACACAATGCTATACCATGCTAACCACACAACACTGCCCGTATGGCTGGCAGGTACATTCAGAGTTAAAAAATCATCCATTAGAAAAACGGAATAGTAACCAATGTAGCAAGGAGAGCCACAGAATTTTGCCTTTCCTTTTAAAAAGTGACAAATACCAAAGTTTCTTCACCAGGTATCAGAATTTATCACAATATATTGATACCATATATAGGCAATAACTATATCTCAATTTTATCTCTGTAATTTCTGTTTCCAGAAAACATGTTGAGGGAGTGGTAAAGTGATTAACATGTAACTGTCTGAGATACGGTTTCATATATACACCTCAGAAGTCAGTTTGTGGCACAGACCACATGTAGATAAATAAATATACATGGAGAGAGAAATGAATGGCAAAGTGATGAAATGTTATGAGCATTCTTTACGCATCTGAGCTCAGTGGAACAGGTTCACACATCTTGAAAACAAAACCTAGGGGCACAAAAAATTGAGAACACTGCCATTTCCATTTCAATATAATATTTGAGATTGTGAAAGCAGCAGACTCGGACCCCCAGCCAGCAGGCCAGTCACACCAGAAGAATGAGGCAAAGGTTGGTCAGCATCAGGAAAATTTCAACGCACTGCACAAAATGTAAGCAGGCTTCTGACCTGCATTACTCAATGGGTGAGAGATGTGTTGCAGGACATTACTGATATGTTTTCTGGTTTCTGAAAAGCAACACAAAGAAAATAGGCATCAATCAACTTCAAGGGATGATTCTGGGGTTTAAGTCGAGCTCCATATTTATCCTGTTTTACAAAAGTTGATTGGCTTGAACTTCATGACTTTCCATTGAACCAGATATTATAGTTGAGTCATTAAGACTTCAGGAACACTGGGATATTTCAGCAACCATCTCCCAATGAAGCCAACATGAGCTAACAGCAATCAGCAACTGCCAGAAGGCACTCAACACCTTACCAGAGAGAACAGACACTACACAAGAAAGATAGAAAGAGTCCACATTCTCTTCTCTATTTTGAGCTGGAGAAAAGTCAACCATCTCCTCTGCAATGTGCCTGTGGAAAATGCTAGCCCTTGAATAGCAGTGACATAAGCTCCCAAGCCTAAACACCACACTCATTTGAAGTGAGCTTAGCTCTACCAAAAATTAAACACTTAGCTTTTGCCTAATACAGTCTTCCTTCAAAAGCCAATCCACGTCCCCTAAAAAAGGATGAGTGAGCACAGATTTTTAGTGTGCATTAAGGGGAGGTGGCACATATCTCAGGAGATCTGATCCTCAGATCGGGGACCAGGGTTTAGGCTGCTGCTGCCTTTACTCAGTGAGGGCAAGGCTTAAGACTTGCTCTACTCTCTGCTGTGGCTTCACTTGCTGAATGAGCCAGCCACAGCCATGCTAATCAGACATACCTAGGGCTGACAGGAAAGAGAGGAGCTGCGGCTGCATGCTTGTTTTAACCATGCAGGAAATGAAAGGCGTGATCCACTTATGTGTTGGGTGCTCATAGCAAAAATCACAAGAAGACTGAGGCTGGAAGGGACTTCTGGAGGTCATCTGGTCCAATCTCCTGCTCCAGCAAGGACACTCGAAGCAGGTCTGATCATGTGGTAGAAGACTGTAGTTTATCTGACCACAGAGCAATTTTATAACCCAAGAATAAATCTGTGCAAGTGCCTTGTACAATCTTTTTCTACTGTCCCACCTTAATAGATGTAATAAATAAGGCTCTGACTTTATTACCAATACTTAATTCTTTCGTAATGTTTGGAGAGAACTAAATTTTCTTCAGACACAGCTACCTGCACAAATATAAATCCAGCATGATCTCCAATACTGACAACATGCTATAAAAGAAAGCTTACTGTTCTGAGCATTAGAGACACACATCCACAGACAAACACTGACAGAAGATGGGAGGAATTGAACATCAGTGCCTCTTGAGTTCCAATCTCAGTTTTGTAACCTTATTACTGTTTAGATTTGAGTAAATTACGTGATTTTGTGCTTCAATTCCCCCATTCACCAAATAAGGGCTAATAGAATAGAATAGCTCAGTTGGAAGCAACACTGAAAGACCATTAAGTTCAACTGTCTGACCAGTTCAGGCTAAATGAAGGTTAAAGCATGTTACTGAGGGCACTGTCCAAATGCTTCCTGAGCACCGACAGGCACACAGGTTACCAATCACCTCTATAGAAAGCCTGTTCAGTGTTTGACCACCCTCACAGTATACATTTTTTTTCTAATGTCCAGTCTGAACCTTCCCTGGTGCAGCTTTGTGCTATTCCTAAAGACTCGTGCTAAAGTTCTTCACCTTCCAAACACTTCAGACATATAAAACAAGGCAAAATGTTGAACACTGCAAATGAACAATCGAGACGGTTATGAC